CCCAAACCTTTCTATGGTTCTAAACACAGCAGAGTACAAAAGTAGTCTCTTTGTAGTTTAAGTAAAACAAAAAGGACTTTTTTCTGGATTAAATAAAGTTAACTAATTGGCAGAGTATTGGTTGTATTTTTCTACGTTAAAGATACATTGTCAGTTGTGCTCAAATTACTGAAACAACCTTTCAGGGTTCTAGTGTTATCGCCTAGTGTGAAGCTGATTTAGCCCCAAATGATTGCTTCTTGTATGTCTAACTAGGGGGAAAATTTCTACCCTGATTTGAGAACATGTAGGAAAGGCCAGTCCTGTGATGACACTTCATTTTTGGGAAAGTGGAGATCATGTTAGGGAATAACAGAGGTAAAATAGCATAAAGTACACTCACAGATTAATCTGTGCATGGCATTCTTCAGGTGTATCTGTGTAAAGAATGGGATTTGTATGTTTGTGTTTTAGATGGACAAACATTTCCAGTGCATTCAGCATTTATGAAGGCATGCTAGTAATTACGAGTTTACCAAATAATTGAAAATTCTTTCAGAAAGTAGAAAGGATATTTACAAAAGGTTATGAATTATATTATACAAGTCCTATTGGCTCTGCAGAAGCTTGTGGATAAATCACTTGTGCATACTTTATAGAGTTACTAGCTTTTTCATAATCACTGGGGAAATAAAGATTGAATTTACCACCAATGAAACATAATTCTAAATTTCTTTTGAAAATGAAATGATATTAAATCTTGTAATCCGCAAGCATAATAATACCAATAACTATTCCAGAAAGCTGTTTTGTCTATAATGTAATGAGGTGTATTACATATGGGAATTCAATTTAATTAGAAGAGTAGGCATACTACTTGAAGAATGGTATAATAGCTATAGTTAAGCACGTTTGTAAACAATTGCGTACCTTGAGGCTTGTGGCTTGTTTTACTTCTCATTATATTAAAGAGATAATGTATGAAACCCAAGCTTCCTCCAGCAGTATCTGTCTTTGTTAGGGAATGCTTGCAATATCTTGCACAAATAACAAAGATGGGTCAGAATCCTGTCTTCACTTGATAGTCGTGTGTGACTAGACTGAAAAGCTGGGACTGAAGACTTATAGGGTGTTGAAGGTGCAGAATGATGGAGCTGTTTACATAAAATACCTTTTTAAATTTTTTTTTCCCCTACGGAGACTTTAAAAAAAATATTGTACAATAGACTGATGATAGAAATTTTGTGCTAAATCTGAAAATAGAACTCAGGAAATCATCTGTAAAATCATAACAAGGGTCGCTTCTAAAAATTGTATTTGAGTGTTTTAAAAACATAAATCACAGGTATGGTAAAATGTAATTGCCTTTAATTTAAAAGGAATTTTAGAATTTTCTTCATTTTTGTCTTCCAAATAGATTGTGAATTATTTATTGTTCACTTTGTGTTTTATAAAAGCAAAAGCTGGAGGAAGAGAAGGAGGCTAAACGTGCTCGGCTGGATGGCAGGCATGATTACTTACTGGATACTGTTGCCTCTTGTGTGAATCTGGACAAAGCAGAAGTAGAAGATGCTATACTTGATGGTAACCAGGTAATCTGATGACTTTGATACTGAAGCTCATAGGGTGCTTTAGAACTGATATTACTGTCAAATACTCAGTGAGCTAGTTGTCATTCGTGTCTGAGGTTACTCAAGTCTTATCGAGAAAATGTTTCTCAGCATTTTGTAATTAAGCTGAACAAAAGTGTCCTTAGTTTCAGGACATATTGTAACAATATCGATTTTTGAAATTGATTGGAATTTCTGCTTTCCAATGGTTATAGATAGTACAGTAAAACCTGTGACTATATTTCATATTGGATCTATAGCATGAAGTCTCTCAAACCTTTAATATAGCGTACATATAGATTCGAGTCCTGTCCCCAGCATGCTGCATGATACTGTTTCCATTAGGCTGCCACCAGCATTTGTGACACTACATTGTTATCTAGTTCAGGAAAGTAAATCAGGTGGAAACTACTTGACAAGGTAGAATGGCTAAGTGATCTGACTGACTACATGAGGGTTAATACAAGGAGTAAGCAGTTAGAAATATGTATTTTGGGGAAATGGTATATCAAAGTTGATGGTAAGTATCATATGCAATGGAGGTGCATATTGTGGTTTGAAAAGAAATCGTTATTTTTTTTTAAACCTGGGTAGATGGCAAGTAGATCTTGTATTACTCCTTGACACTGAAGTAAACATGGTTGTATTTTGTTTCCTCTTGTGTTCCCCCATCATTTGTATATTTTCAATTCATACATTCCCATTTTAGTGTTAATATTGTTGAGAAACTGAAGTAAGTCCAGTGGAAGACTACCAAGGTAGTGAGGGACACAGGGCATGTAAAATATGAGAAGAGGCAGAACAAGGGACTTAGGGGCAGTCAGATAGCCTGCAGCTGCTAGAAGAGTGGTTACAAAGATGACAGAGCTGAACTCTTCTCAGTGGGTGCAGATGATATGACAAAGGCAATAGCCACTACTTACAAACTGGATATTAAGAGACCCTTCTTTCCCAGGGGTGTAATGCAGCATGGGAATAGCTTACTCGAGTGAGTTGTGTAATTTCTGTCCATGAGGTTTTTGAGACTCAGCCTAGGCAAAGCTCACCTGAGCTGCTGTTCATGGTACGGGAGACTGGCCTCGAGTTCTCCCAGAGGTCTCTTCCAGAATTTCTGTGATTCCATGTAATACAGGAAAATAAGCTTTGGAGAACACTGTCACACAAGTTAAAAAGCAGAACTTGTTTCAGCCTTTGTGCATCCTTTCTTTAAATAGGTTTTCTGGCAAACTATATTGCCTGAGAATAATTGTCAGATGAAGAATATATTGGCAGCTGTTATACTTGGAAAGAGAAAAGTGTAATAGATGCTTTGACCTCATCTTGGAGGGCTCAGCCAAGATTTTCTGGAATAGCAGTTTATGTGATCTTGGTGTAACTGCAATCCCTTATTAATGGAAGAGGGATAAATGTGGCTTTCTTCCTGCTGCTGGTGATCTCTTAGCCTTTTTTCTGCACTAGGAAGCACAAATGGTACCAGCAAATGTTTCTGAAGAACTTACAGATGTAGGAGCTTTTTCCACTGGAAAATTGCTATGTAGTTAGGGACTATATGAAACAATGACTCGTAGCTCTAGAAAAATAATGGTTTAGGCCAGACTTTCAAGTGCTGAAACACAAATCGGCATACTAGCATAGAGCAATTGACTTTCTTCCTAGACCTGTGTGGCCTATACGTGAGATTCCTGGACTGCACTAGCAATACATGGTTCAAGGATGCTTGATGGAGAAGTGTGGATTTTTCCTGGTGCTTAAAAGTATAAATAAATAAAGGCTTCCTCTGTGGCTATGATATAGAATAAATGCAGCTGTGTATTTTCTGCTTTCAGCTAGTTAGCTGAATGGCAGTGAGCATGACATTGGTGAGGGACTTCAGTGAGGTGTTGCTGCACTTCACTAAATGAAGAAATGCCCTGTGCCCTCTGTTTGAGAGATAATACACAACACGCAGAGTAAGTGGTTTCAGTAAACTGAAACACGGCCTGGCTATATTCAGTTGTGTTCAGGATGGGAAAATTTAAATGATTCTATTAAGTAGTTGTGTGCTGCTAAAGGACAAGGCAGATCAATAATTTTTTTGGCAGGTAGTAACTGGGCCTGGTATAACTTTATTATTGAACAATGATAAGGTGATGAGTATTTGCCAACCCTTTATGTTAAAAATCTGAGCAAGTTAAACTTTTCATAGTGGGTACGCTATGCATAATGATCTTGACGTGTTCTCAAACAGATGGAGCGCATTGACAAATTCCTGGCACCTGGAGGTCTGCGCCATCTGATGTTCTACTATCAAGATGTGGAGACAACGGATACAGGTAAAGCAACTTATGTTCTCTGGCAACATGTTACAGGTGTGCTGAGCAAGCGTACAAGAAAAAAGCAGTGAAGTTTTTATAAAATGGGGCATAAGACAGGTCAAGTTTGGTCATGCTGGGACATCGATCCTTGCTCATGAAACGAGGATTGGTGAAATTACTGAAGCTGATTAGTACACTTCTGCATGTTGCTAGTACGCAGCAGCAAGATACTTCCTTGTGAGCCCAGCAGCTCTTGCCTGGGAAATGGTTTTCTGTAGTTAAAAGATGACCTTCATACAAGGTGAGTAGTGTCAGGTGCTCTGCCCCCTCCCCTCCAATCATGCCACTAGTCTGCCCTAGAAGCCCCCCACATTTCCTCCACAGCCAGAGGTCTGGAGCCCGAGCGCTGCCGCAGCAGATTCCAAACGAACCCTCTCAGCGATAGCAGCCCGGGAAAGCTAAACAGACCCACCAACTCCCTCACAAACCGGCCAGCACAGGAGTTAGCAAAGCAGCTAATGAGTGAGTCAGGGTGAGGGTTACCAAGTGTACGGGCGCAAATGAGACAGGGTAAGGGAGAGTAATGGCTCCCGGCCCCCCTCCTCGCCTCTGCCCCCAGCATGACGTACTATGGAATGAAATACTCCCTTGGTCAGTTTGGGTCAGCTGCCTGAACTGTGTGTCCCAGCACTGCCTGTAGCAAGACAGTGAGAGCTGGGAACGCAGCTGCAGGATCAGAAGTGGAGAAAAGACCTTGAATCTGGTGCAGGCATTCCCCAGTGCCAGCTAAGAACTTATCAGTGCTGCTCCCTGCATCCAGGAACAGCTTCCTAGCAGCCACGGTAAAGAGGGTTAACTCTTTCCTTACTGAACCCAGCACATATGTGTATACCTAAAACATATGAAAAGACTGTTTAATACCATATAAGCAACTCTAATAATTAAAATTTAAATGCACAGAGAAAGAAAATTAAATTAAAGTACAAACTCAGCCAAGAATTTAGAAATCTGCTGAGCAAGTTTGAACATGCCTGAGTTGAAGGGGTGGAAGTTTATTGGAGAGAGTGTGAGGCAAGGGACAAAGCCTGGGAATCTAATCAGAGTCCCCCTCACCCATCCCCAATTGATCAGATGATCCTACAGCATGACTGTGGTGGCCTTTGGTCTTCGGGATGTGATGCTAGATGTAGGCAACATGGAAAGCTGGAGAGGAGAAGAAAAAAAAAAAACAACCCAAAAACTGACCAACCAACTGAATAACCTCCAAACCAAACAAATTCACAACAACGTGTGCATTGGGTGAATAAAGACAAGTTCCAAAAAGACCATGCACAGTGAGGGGGGAAAGAAAAAAAAAGGAAAAGAGAAATGAGCTGGTTGCAAAGGAGAAGACACAGGTGAGTTTGGGATGAAGTGAGTGGGTTGAAGACTGCCTTTTCCCACAGTTGTAAGTGTACACTTACTTGTGATACCAACTCAGTGTGCAGCTTGTGCTGTACATTTTGGTTTTTTAGGTGGAGCAAAGTTCGTGAAAGAGTTTTCTGTGGTGATTGTTCTGGGGCCGTGGTTCACAGGCCAGTAAAGCAGAAGTTGCAGTTATAGTGATGGCTACTAATCAGTAAAGTGAAGTGTATTTTTGCTGTATTTTGTGCATCTTGTTGACAAGAGGACTCTACTGTACACCACCTCAAATGCAAGCTGATTTTCTGACCCTGATGTGGATCAGCAAACACTTGTGTTAGGGGTTGAAGATGACCTCATGCAGAGTGCCTGCAAGATATTTGGTGTCCCTGCAGAGCAGGAGACTATATCTCTGAGTTCAGAAAGATGTACTCCAGAGCCCTAAGGGGTCATTTCAAAGTCTGGTTTTATGCCCACCCTCACTTGCAGAATTTTTGCAATGTTTTGAATGACAGTTCTAATATGCAGCCAAACTTCGAGCATCCTTTTCAGTAACAGTACATCTTTTCTAAAGAGACTGCAGTATATTACCTCCTCCAGCTACTTGACTCTAGGTCAAGACTGTTTTGCTGGTGACAGAACCATTGGTGTAATTCTGAGGTAAACAAAAGAGGCTTCTGCAGGAGCTGGGGTGAGGAAGGTGAGGGAGAAGGTGATGTGAACCAAAGAGTGTGGAGGAAACTTATGGGTGGCCACTCAATCCAAAATAGGGGTCTCTCTGGCAGGTGGTCATGTGCCTAAAAAAAAAAAAAAAGGGCAAGAGACTTGTCACTTTTTGGAGTTTTTTGGACATTATCCTTTAACTGCTGGTATCAACAGCTCACTTTTTCATATTGTTATTCCTGCAGTTTCTCACTGAGATGTGTATGCATGTGACTTTACTCTGAGGTAACACTAGAAAACAGAAGTAATGTGGCCAAAAATCACAACTTAAAAGAATTACTGTTCCCCCAAAGACACTGCTAATTCTTGGTGACTCTTTACGAGTGTTACCAACAGCCTAAACATGGGAGCAGCATCTTCATGTTGGGGGAAGGAGAAAGGACAAGGAAGTCCCTTGTAGCTTCCTTATTGGTTTTTTTTGTTGGTTTTTTTTTTTTTTTAATTATTGTTGTTGATTTTACTTTTAAGAATCTGCTCTGGCATTTCTCTGCTTGTTTTCAGAAGCACACTTTTTTTTTTTAAGCAATAGAGCGTTATCTGCTACTGCATGATAGAGGGCCAAGTAAGAGAATCCTGAACCTTTCCTTAGAAGAAACACAAACCAAATAAATGAATAGAAATGAAAGACTTTTGATGTGAGAATAGCAAAACTGGAGGAAGTAGTTCTTACTGTGCCGTGAGGACTCTGGATGCTGCATACAGTCTGGGGATAGTCTTATGGGGCAGCGCCAGGGGACTGGAACTCAGAGATACACAAATGGTGACTGAAATGTTTGTTTAGAAAACTTTACTTTGAATAAATAAACAGTGTTTCTTAAATGTGTGGGTTTTTTTTTTTTTTTTAATTTGAATCTATAGGGCACTTTGGCCTTCCAGGAACACGAATGAACTCTCATTTGACAAAGAAGAATCCTAAAGTATTTGTGACAGAGGGAAAAGAAGTTGCTTTAACTGGTGTATGCATTTTCTTCATTAGATCTAGTCTTTTTAAACCCATCACAACTGAGAATATATATCAGGTAAGAGTCAGTCACTGTTGATCACTGCACATAATCTTGTTTAAAATTCACTTTCATCTAGGGGTATTTGCTCTCAACATGAAATTTGACAGCCTTTGACATGGAGGAATAGGCAAAATGACTTGTTTTGCCTAAATGAAACACAGGACAAAAAAAGAGGGGAATGAAAAAAACACAACATTACCTAGCTGCAGCAACTTGAAGTGTATAATTGCTATAAAGAAATGTGCTAAGGGGGGAAAAAAAAAAAATCCCAAGTGACATTAGTCATTAATCAATACCTAAATAATAAGCTGTTGAATTTAAATACATGTTAGCAAATCCATTAAAAATCAATCAAAAAAGATTTTATTTTTGAGAGGACATAAGCAAATTATATATAAACAAGTTTTTCCTGGTGAAAGACTCCTTAAATCTGTGACTCTCTGAAGAAAAGAAAGCTGGATCTAGTCCTCCAATAGAGGGGAGCACAGAGTAAGATCTGTAAAAACTGTAGGAAATCCTACAGTTGTAGACAAACTAATCACATTGTTAAATAAGAACGAATGGACTAAAATATTTTAGTGTTGTGGAAAATTTTCTATACGCCTTGAAATGGGAACTTCAAGTACAGATCCTAAACCAGCAATTTTAACTTCCCCCATCCCTTCTAGGAAAACCTTTAAAACTGTATTTTGCCCAGATAGGCAAGAAATGCTAGAGCAAAGGTTGAGTGAGCTGGCTGTCATCACCAGATTATTGTTTGATTTCTACAGGTATATCCTTTAAAGTATTATGCCTAACCTCTTTAAAAAAAAAAAAATATTGTTTTTAGTTTGAAAGATCTGCTGTAGATTGTAGTCAGTTATATACTATTTAATATTTGAAGTTTTTTTAATTATTAGTAATGCTTGTAAGATGGTAATTGCAACTGAAAAAATGTGTAAAGCAGACTTCTTCACAAGTAATGAAATAGCCCTTGCAGTAGATAATACCTTAAAACTAGGAAAGACAAGTTGAAAAGTAGAAATGGTGTGTCATCAGACACACCTAATGTGTGACACTTAAATACAAGTTGTTTGGTGTTAAATTGTGTTGCTGAAAAAATTCTTGTCGTACCTTCTGATAAAGCAAAAAATGGCTGACAGATTCATGTAACTTACTTTAGAATTCTACAATGTCTTTTTCAGAATATCTAAAAAGCAATTGTTCTGTGAATTGCTCTCTTTCGAACTGCATAGTTATTCTTCTTGGACCAAAATCTTTGGGCAACTGGAAGACAGAGTTAACTGTAGCTCATAATTCTTTAGGCATCTAAGCCTTTTAAGTGCATTGATATCTGCCTATATATATAAATATAATTCTGATAGCTTTAGAAGTGACAGGCTGGAATCATTTTACTCACCCATGTAAACTGAGCTTTGTAAGAACAAGTGTCTTACACTCTCATTATATTTTGGAAGTGTTTTCACATCTTTGTTTCCTCAGTTTTGTATGACAAACTGTGACGTTGTGCAAATATATTAGCCCCTGCTAGCAGTAATTGTGCTGCTGTTGCTTCAAGAGCATCTGTGTGCACTGGTAATTCTTGAGATACTTAAGGCAATAGGATTGGAATAAATATAATGATGAAAAAATTTTGTTTTCTATTTTAACTTATATTTGTTTTCTTTTGCAGGAAGTAAGTTTTAATATGATGAATGTAGGTCGAGATGGCTTACTAAAAAGTGTCGAGCAGTTGATATCAGAAATCTTCATTCCAGCCTTGCAGACTATGGACTGTGGCCGGGTTGAACCTCAACAATTTTCCAGTATCAAGCAGGACTTCCTTTTTTCCCTTGAAGCATTTGTTAGTGTGCTGTCAGGAACTCAGCAGAGTCTGTTGGAAAAGGTAGTATGCTCACGTTGCAAATAGAAATTTAGCTAGTAGAATGTCTCTTGCTCTGGAGCTTTTGAACTAACTGCTATTATAGAATACTTGTAAAACCTGCTTTTGTTAAACTGGAGAAAAAAATAACACTTTTAAAAGTTTGTTATCATCAGTAACTTGTTATACTTTGATGGCTTTAACAATTCTGCAGGTGCTTCTGTTCTTGTTTGTTCTGGCAGCAGTTCTTTAGAGCTATTAACCTCTTGACTTTTCAGTGTCTGTGGTCACTCTTAAACCGAGTGATTAATGTATAACACACAGTTCCTTTAACTGTTAATTTCTACTCAGCCTTTGTGAAGGGAAGAGCATGAGAGCACAGCTCCCAGCCTGGTGAATGTTACAGATTCTGGAGTTGGGTTCTGGCTCAAACCAATGCAATTTAAACTGAAGTGGGAATATGAAGTGAGATACCCCAAGTGGGGCAACCAGTTACTTTTTAAAGTTCCTGGATTATTTGTCATGAACATTTCAGCATTTCAGGGGTTTTTAACTTGTGTTTTAGATCAATCTGAAGAAATATGAAACATATGATCTGAAAACTCTGCGAGGACCTTCAGATTACCTGATGGTTGCTAATAGCATAGATGCCCTTGAAAGAATAGAAGTCTGCATGAAAGGGTGGACCAAACAAATTGAACAGGTGATACACTGAAAAAATGTGAAATACGACAACATCTGCCTGTTACTTTCTATAAACTTAGATGTGGCCAATCCCTGTGTTTTAAAGTACTGTTATGTTTTGTGTGCTTTTACTTCTCAATGAGAATATTACTGAGAGCTTTTTCCATCTACTAGTAAATAGAGCATACACATATCTTTGGAAGCTTAGTCCTCTGTTTTTGATAATCACCTATTTTTAAAATAGAAAACAATTATTCCTAGTGGGTTTAATGAAAGCAAAAGGAACACAATAATTAAGTGAACACTATTCTCAGTGGTCAGAATTGTACTTTGAAACGTGCTTTGCAGGTTATTTCCAGAAAATGTAATTGTCTGTAACAGTGCTCTTGAGATACTACTCCCTCTTTATCTCAGAATGAAAAAGGTCAAGCAAAATTGAGGTCTCTTATGTGAGGTGGTGGCTGAGTTAGGTAATATATCATGGGAGGTTAATACTTGGGGTTGAATTGTGAATTAATCCATGCTATCCATGCAGATAAAAAATATTAGCATATTTCACTAATACTACTGTATGACAAAAGGTTCTTGCAGAAAATGACCAGTTGAGGAAGGAAGCTGATGACCTTGGACCACGAGCAGAGCTTGATTACTGGAAGAAGAGACTGACGAAATTCAACTATCTTACGGACCAGTTGAAGAGCCCAGATGTGAAGGCAGTACTTGGAGTACTTACTGCAGCTAAATCCAAACTGCTAAAGGTTTCTATTTTGAATTACGACAGATGTAAAGACGAGAAATGCTCTGCATAAACTACTCAGTTTTGGTGATGTATATAACATTGCAGCTGGGGAAAATATTGAGGCATCTTTGGCTTTCGTTTTCTTTGTCCTTCCCTATTTCTCACCTTGAGTAGATGAAGTTTAAATCTAGTTTAATTTATTGGAAAAGATTGGGAATCCACGTTATCTAAATGCTGATAATGTACTGCATCCACATAGATCAACAGAAATAAATATTTATAAATATTTGAAAAGTTGATTATTAAATCAGAAAATTGAATTAATGAACTGTGTATTTAATGAAAAGAAAACAGAAACTCCCCATTTTTTTAAACCTCTTTCTCATGTTGTTACAGTGTCTGTCAAAACTGCTTGTGGGGTCATAACTTCTCACATTGACATAACAAAGTTAAAGACCCATTACAAACAGCAAAATAAGTGAATAAACCAAAAAGTTTGGCTCATCAAAATGAGACATGTGAAACAAATACATGGTTATATATTCATCAGTCCATTAAGCAAAAACAGTTAACAGATGATGTCTATGTATTTTACAGCAGCTTAACTTGACACTTCTACTGACACAACTTGTTGAGCCGAGTGGTCTAAACAAACTATATGTTCGGTCTAGTTATTGAAGCAAAACCTGTTCCTCATTTTGAGTAAACAAATGTAAACTTGTTTAAAGGTTAATGAAAAAACAGGGTAATCTCACAACAGATTTCTGAAATGCGTGGCTTTCTTTTTTTTCAACTTTCTATTCTTAGAAATGGCGAGCATTGGATATTCGCATCACCGATGCAGCAAATGAAGCTAAAGATAATGTGAAGTATCTATATTCTCTGGAAAAATGTTGTGACCCATTATACAATAGTGATCCTGTAAGCAGAACTTTTAAATTCTTAACATAAATCTCTTGAGGCAACTAAAATGAATGTATTTTGTAGGATCAGTTTGAAAATCACATAGATACCGTTTTGGGTATGTATCTCCAATTTGAGATTTTGAGTTATGCTAAAAGTGTGCTAAAAGTGGCCTAGTGGTAATTTCTGGCTCCAAAATAAAGTACTCGTTGTTTTCTTGCCATGGTACCTATGAAGCTTTTGGTCTGATGATGAAACTGTATTCTGTGCTATGGGAGGAAGTGTAATCTTTGCAATTAAAAAAAAAAAAAAAAAGGAGGGGTGTGTGTGACAGTAAACTCAGTGGTTTTTGTATTTGTATTAGTGGCCCGGTCATGCTTAGCCTAACATTTATAAGGCAATTTTCAGCTGTTTGGTTTAGAAAAACATATATATGATTATGAAAACATTAAGGTGTAAATATAAGTCAGCTTCTCATACCACAGTAACAGGATCGTGCAGGCATAACAAGTAGTAAACGAAACGAGCCACCCTAAAGAATGGTATAGAAAGAAGGATTCTCATGTTATCTGCTAAAGTAGGTGGCAAATAGTTCCTTTTATTAAAACTGGTAACTGACTGCTAGTTAGAAAAATATGACAAGGAGTGATGAAGACTCAAAACTTTTTGACCATCCTAGCTACCTCTCCCTCTCTCCAGACTTTTTCCAAAGTGAAATTGCTTCCAGTCAGTTCTGTGGACAACCATGGTATGGCTCTGTTTGTTTCCATTTACTGGATGGTATTATAACAGTGTGTTCTTTCAGTGTTTCCCAATCTGAAATTTGAGTCTCTCTGATGTAAGGTTAGTATGATACCCTTACAAAACAGAGTTAAAGTGAACATGCTTGCTATTGGCACTGTGCAGGGTCTGTTGAACTTGATCTTTGTGCTCCCCGTATTGACTTTTGCTGAGGAGGATGTGGTGCTGGCCTCAGAAGAGATGTTCAGTTTTGAGAGGGTGTAGCAATTGGGGTAGAAGCCATTGAGGCATGGAATGTGAGCCTTTCTCTTACTGATACTTACCTGTAAAATGTTGAGAACCAGTTTGTCAGGAGAGTAAAACTGTCGTTGCTTTGGAAAATCAGATGTGAGGAGGAGCTGTCTGAAAAATCTTTGGCCCATTCAGGGCTGAAGGCAGGGGAGCTGTTCTTTTGAATGATGCTTCTCTTCAAAGTATTTAGCAGAAGGCATTTGTCTTGTACACAAGACTTACTGAAAGTGCTCTCCTCCTCCCCAACAGAATCTGTGGGGTGTGTATGTGAATATAGGGTGAAAAAGCTCATGGATATTTGAAAGACATGGAGATCACTTACCTGTTATCATCATGGGCAAAACATATTCGACTTGGGGAAAAGTAACTTTATTGAAAGTGAAAAAAGATGGGGGTAGTGAGAAACAAGGACCAAAACTAAAACCACACCTCCCCACCATCCCTCTTTTTCCCAGTCTCACCTTCACCTCTTCACGCCTGACTCCTCTACATCCTCCCTCTTAGTGAGTGGTGTGAGGGGATGGGGGATGTGGGGCTGTGGTCATGGCTGGCGGGGCTGTTTCTCACACCGTTCCCCTCAGCCTCAGCTGCGGGGCTGCGTTTTGCTATTTATGGGCTTTTTTTATATGCAAGCTTGCATCAGGTTTAGCAGAGGAGTGTACAAACATACTTTTTGTGAAAATAAATGGCCTTTGTCTCTATAAAATTTTACTTCCAAACCAGAATTCCTCTAGACAAGATTCTGGTGAAATCTTTTCCCCACAATTGCAGAGCTTGGAGGGTGAAGTAGGGCAGGCAACTCCACAGGAGAGGCCCAGGGAAACAGAGGCAGAAATTTTTCAAAAACAATGTCTGTAAGGCTCCTGCATTCTCTAATTAGGTGTCAAGCTAATGTATGGCAACAGAAGTACTGAGCAGAGTTCAGACTGTGTGTTTCTTTCTAGGTGTCTATGGTGGATGCTATTCCAGGACTCATAAATACAATTAAAATGATTCAGAGTATTTCTCGGTATTACAACACATCTGAAAAGATATCCTCACTGTTTGTGAAGGTTGGTGCTACAGCGTGAAAGGAGATTTTCACAGATTTTTTTGTGTGTTGTTGCTTGAGAGACACAAAACACAAAGGGACCAAGTAATTAAGGAGGTCAATTTAATTCTGCTGTTTGAATGTATAAAGAATTGGAAGTAGTGGTAAAACTACTTCAAAGTTAGAATTTATTTCACTGTCTAATTTGGAGTTGTAAGAGTTTTTTCAGACTTCTTGAAGATCAGGACTGATCTCAACCTTGATATGAATAGATCAAGGAACTTTTTGTAGAACCAATTATGTTAAATTCATATAGCCATTAAACCTTTTTATATTTCCATAAAGAAGGAAATGGAGTTGCAAGGACAATCTATTCTTTAATGATCATACTCTCATAGGCGCTTGATTTTACCTTTGCTTTCAGAATTGCCAGTGTCTTATGACTTTGTAGGCCTCAATGTCATTTCAAGGTTGGTACAAGGTGTTTAGGATGAGTATAATCTATCAACAACATTTTGGTGGTGTAATGGTATGGAGGCTGGATATTGCAAGGAGAACATTCTGTCTTTGTGGCTGGTATTTGATACTACAATTTTGCGGGCTAAAGCTGGTTGCGTTAGAGGTATGGGGTGAGACTGAAAGAAGGGTAAGATCTGCTTTGTCTTGACATGTTCTTTTCACAAGATCAAACCTGCTTTTAGGTGACAAATCAGATGATCACAGCATGTAAATCTTACATTACAAACAACAATACAGCCACCATCTGGAATCAACCTCAGGAAAAAGTTATGGAAAAGCTACAAGCAGCCATTAGGCTTAAACAGGTAGGTGGGAAGGAAAACAGAATATAAGATGAGGTTTATGAGGGCATGATTAGGAAACCTTTGTACGAGGAAGCAAGGTTATAATGAAGAAAAATGTAGTAACAGAAAAATACCCTTTGCAACTTCAGTCTTTTATCTTAGAGCTAACATGTAATTTAGTCCAGTGTCTGTTGATCTTCTGGAAACAGGATTTCAATGCTTAGCCTAACTTAGCCATTCTTCTTATATGAGAATTATGTGGATTTTCATGTCTGAGTTTCTCTAGTAAGTTTTTCCTCATGTGACGAGGAGGGATGTGCAATAGAAATGAAAAAAGAGGAACTTACTGAGCTGGATATATTCCAAAGATGTGTGGACAAGCTACATCTTTAGAAAGGGCAATTTAATGAACTGAGAAGGATTCAGCTGCTCAGGTTGCTTATGCTTGTTGGGAAGTGAGCCTTTATTTTTTTTTTACATACACTTCCATGACCTCTTTTTTTTTTTTTTTTTTCCTCCTTTTTTCCGTTTAGAACATAGGATCATAGGATAATTTAGCTTGGAAGAGTCCTCAGCAGGTATCTAGTTCAACCTTCTGTTCAGAGACGAAGCAGGGACAGCTATGAGATCAAACTTGGTTGCCCAGTTTGTTCAAAGCCAAAGCAGGAACTGCTATGAGTTCGAACTTGGTTGCCCAGTTCTTTATGCAGCCTTTCTGAGCAGCTTCATAACTGCTTGAGTGTTCTTAAGGTGAAGGATTTTGTCCTTTCATCCAGTTAGAACATCTTCTGTTTCAGTGTATACCCATTGCCTCTTAGCCTCTGTCCATGTGTTATTGTGAAGAGCCTAGCTCTGTCTCTTTGATACTGCCCTGTAGATCAGAAGGTTCATATTAAGTTTCCTATGTTAATACTTTTTGTTTCCTTAATAGTATGTGCTTGGAAGACAAGAACTTTATCCATACACCTTTGGAAGAAACAAATCTTGCATAGTTCTAGCACAGATTAGTGTGGATTTATAAGACATCTTACCATCTGCAACAAGTTGTAAATTTGTGTATTTCTATAAAGATGTAACAAATTATTTGGTTGCTGCATTAAAATATGTTGAAGGATTAGGTTTTTATTTGAGTCTTATTAGTTCCAAAAGCTTTCAGAAATTCAATAGATTATAACTTAAAATTTGAGTCACTAACAACTTAGGAAACTCTGGGCTCTTTATATAAACATCTCCAAGTGGTGTAATTCATACATATACGTGATAAAAAGGAACATTGTATTTTAAAGAGAACTACTCTTGAAAGAAGTAATTTCAAGCAAATCTGTTGACTGTGTCTGACTTAGTGAAGAATTTAATTTTAGCTTGTTTGGAGTAAACCCTGTGCCCATTTAAGAAAGCAGAATGAAAACTGGAAGCTGCTGTGGAGCAGCATTTTAAATTCAGAAGGATTTTTTTATCCTGGAAAGTGATTTGGGAAAATTTGAAACATTATTACTCAGTAAAACTGCTCAACACACGATAATTATTTTCAATCTCTGAAAACTGAAATCTGGGTTGTTATCTTGGGTATTCAGTAAACTCATGAATCCCTGCTATGAAATGGAGGGATAAACAGAATGTCACTCTAGCTAAAGGTGGAATCTACAAGTACATATGTGTGCAGTTCATTCATTTGATGAAATCATAGAATGGTTTAGGTTGTAAGGGACCTGCTGGTCACTCTTCTTTTGCTGCAGTCCGGGATCCATTCTCCACCCAGCCTGTATTTGTGCTTGAGAATGCCCTGACCCATGTGTGATCCTGTAATTGCTGGGTTAGTTTTCAAAGACAAATTCTTTTATTGTCTATATAGTGGTCTTGATTGTTTATTTATTGAACTTCTACTTGCTATCTAGTTAGGATTATATATTAAATTTTGCATAAATCTTGTTCTAGCTGATGACACTGCCTTTTATAATTTGCTTGATATTCTTCTTTTACATTCTTCTTTGTTTTTAGGAGTATCAAACTTGCTTTCATAAGATAAAAGAGAAATTGGAACAAAATCCTGGTGAAAGACAGTTTGATTTTAGTGAGATGTATATCTTTGGAAAATTTGAAACCTTTCATCGGCGTCTGGTAAAGATAATACATGTTTTCAATACTATGAAAACCTACTCAGTACTACAGGAGTCTAACATAGAGGGATTGGAAGGGATGATCACAAAATATGAGGTACACAGTAAATTTTGGATATCCTATCAGTCTGACTTGAACTTTAAACAATAAATAATTCTGAATATTAGAAAAGTGTTTATCAAGAAAAATTAACTCTGTGAGTTCTGCTAAACTTACTGGATATTAGTGATGTAAATATGTGATTGCTGGGTGAGACAAGATGAAAAGGGGCAGGTGGATGTGTGAAGATGGGTCTGTTAAAATCAAAGGTAATTGAAAAAGCAATTCAATGGGGGGAACTTTGTAACAGGAGTAATTGAAGCCGTAGTTTTGTGCTATGATTGGGAGAAAAAGTGAGAAGTGTAACATTTCTGTCTTTACAAATGTTTTGCTGCCTATGAAAGTGTATTGTGACCAAAACTGCAGACTGTCTTCATCTCTTGGCCATTATTCTAGGGCTACTTGATCAGTGCCTGCTACTGAGGTTGGCTCACTTGCCATGGTGGTTGATGCTGCTGTTAGATTGTCCTTGCAGCTTGGAGTGAAACAAGCCCCAGTTCCATTTCTCTGCTGCATAAATACAAACAAATATAACTTTGATTTCTTGAAATAAGTAATAATAAAAACCCAAAAAACAAAACAAAAGGAAAAAAACCCCACAAAAATTCCACCAAAACTTGGACTCTCAGATTTACTTGGTTTCATTAAGGACATACCAAGCTTAATTCCAGCAAACCAGATTTTTAGGTTTACTTAAAATCTAGACTCTAGATCTGGAGTACAATCACCAGCTTTGTGTTTTATGAGGGAAGAAAGAGTTAATTCACTGATGGCTATCTTTAGGGTGAGGGAGGAAGAGAAATGACTTAGCTGTTTTGCTCTGAAAGCTCTTCAAGTTTAGACTTTTTCTTTTGTAAAAATAGAATCCCTTTGCTTGTTAGTATTACCATTCAGGTTTCCTTCCTGGTGTTTTTATTTAGTAGGAATGAGACTTGAAAAACAAGGACATCTTCTAAGAATATAAATAAACTAAATCATGTTCTTTTCCTTCCTACTTTTGAGCTTAACTTCCTTTTCTAGCAAGTAGTCTTCCCTGATTTTACAGAGCCTGAGTTATATTGTATCTCTATCTTAGTGCAGTATCATAGTTACGGCACTTGTAAGTATTAAAATAAATCAGAAGTAGTCAATGTGTGGAGTTTGTAGACTGCTTTTAGCGATCACGTGATACAGTGGCAGTACAGGCAAATGTGGCATTCCAATTTGCTTTACTTTGTCCTTTTCATTGTGGCCATGAGTAAATCACTTTGCTTTAGTTAAATAACTGTGGGGTAAAATGTGAGCATTCATTCCATGGTCTATCCTGGTTTGATTCACTCCCTGTTGCAGTCCAGGGTTTTGATTCCTTGACTGCATCCTTCACAGTAGCCAGTTTTCTCCTTTGTTCTCTTCTATAGTCTCCTGAGAAGAAACCTGGGCACTTCTGAAGTATAGCTTGGTCCAAGTCTATTCCGCATGGGCAGTGTGAGCTGCTCTAAATTTTTGCTTCCTTCACTGACAGCTGCTCTGTAAAACTATGCCAGCAGGCTTCTCAGCAACTGTGGTTGCTGAGAATTTTCAGGTCATACTATGAAGGTAGTATTTTGGTGGGCTGGAGCACAGACATCTCATTTATTTGGGGCATTTGTATTTGAAAAGCCACCTATGAGCTTTAGCCCAGGCTGTGACGCAGTCTGCAAACTCTCTACAGATATAGCACATTATCCATTGCAGCACTCAAATCCTAAATTAAGAGCTTTGTGTGGGACCTAGTTACTGTGAAGTGAATTGCATTTGGGAGGTGGTGTAGTGAAGGGAATTTGTACATGCTTATGTAGAAAATACTACAGGGAGTGTTGTTGGTAGTATGCATTAAGGGCAGAAAGTGACTGTACTTTTTTAATAGAAAATTGAGGTGCTGACGTATTTGACATAGACTATAGCTGTAGTTATGTGTTTGTATGACTTGAAAAATGTTTACAATAGGAATTTATTATGTTGCATTTTTTTGGGCTTTACCACTTAGCTGTTATCTAGGATTTGCTTGTTTTTAGAGGAAAAGATGGAATTTCTATTGACAGCAAAACAATAAAAATGAAGTTCAGTTGACTTAGAAAAAAAATGGTGGAAGTCTGCTGTGCTGAAAATTTGTAGAGCTTCACAGCTGTACTACGGTAAACTGCTAGGATATTGTTCATCATTAGAAATCCTTTAAGTGTGTGTACAGCTCAAGGGAGATGCTGATTAAGATGTTCTTACGTTTGAGTGGACAACAGCTACGTAAGGGAAGCCAGGAATAATAAGTCCTGGACTGGCGACATGCTGCATCTTACTGTGACTTTTGAATAGTCTGGTTTTCTATGGAATCAGTTAATTTAAAGACATGGAAAATACTAATGTGAAAATATTTTTCTTTGTTGAAATTTGTTAACTTTTAAATAGAAATAATGAGCCTCTGCATGAGAGAATACTTAATGGGTAACAAATTTCTGATGAAAAGCAAGCGTCTGAATCTTCTGTCAGAAGTAAATAATATAAATGAAATTCATATGGCCATGGTACCAACTTGTTTCCTGCAAATATGTCATTTAAGTGGTTTTCTTATATTGCTTAGCAATTACTGGTAACTAAAGGCAGAGGTAATATGTGAATGTGCACAGCCAATTGTGCTAAATATTTTGGTGGGTAAGCCTTTTGATAAGACAATTTTTTTGGTGATAATTTTAATTTTCTGTGAAACTGTTTAGGGCATTGTTGACATCATGAAGAAAAGGTATTACAATTTCTTGGATCAACGCAAGACTGATTTTGACCAAGACTATGAAGAATTTTGCAAAGAGATAAATGATCTTCATGTAGGTTTTATGATTCAAATAAGAATTTAATCTACTGATGAGTCCTCATAAAAATGAAACTACCTCTATCTGAGTTACCACCAAACAAATTATGCAAATCTCAAAGTTTGTGTTCTAAAACTGAAAAATTATTCTAATGTATCTCCACTTTAAATGTTGCATTAATTATGTAAATTTCAGACCAATTTCATAGAATAGGCCAGAATGGTCCTTGTGGGCTTCCAAAGAAAGGATTTTTTTATTATTCTAAATTATTTGGAAGTTATGCTAGCAAGAATAACACAAAAATACATGATTTCATTGGGTGAATGGGAGCATAACATAGATAAGTAACTTTCCCATAGTTCTGAAATCACAAGTTGGTGGAAGGAATTGGTACCTGTAGAAGAAAAAAAATTAAAATAAAGGCTTGTTGTGCTTTGGTTGCCAAAGACATAAGCAAGCATTCTTTGAGGGCTCTCAGTGTGGTGGAACAATTGAGAGTGCAAAAGCTGTTGTTGGTTGCAAGCTACAGAGGGAACCTGGAAAGAAAATGCCTTGAAAGTTAGTTGTATTTTGTTTCAATCTTGAGGGAAGGAAGAAAAGAAAAAATTATACTTACTGAGGTTAGTTTCACATAAGCAAATTATGTCCTAATATAGTGCATGATAAATCCTGTCAAATATTGCCTGGCATATTCGAGGTGTGTCCCTTATGTAGTTCTCTGCTGCAGAATTATTTGCTCTCCTTCAGGATCAATTAAGGATTTTCATGGATATCACCTTGGAAAATATTTTGCATACTGAAAGAGCACTGAGTATGCTGAAGAAATTTGAAAGGTACTATGTCATATCTACATTGCTAGAATTCTGCCAGGCGATAGAAATAACATTTTGAGTATGGTGGGAAGTTGGGAGGGAGGTGTGGAGGGGCTGGGCAGAGCAGGAGGCGTTTCCTTAAATAAAAATGAAAAACAACCCAACCTCTTCTCACTCAACTGTTCAGCTCTGTTAAAGGATGTCTTCTCAGTACTGTAGATGAATAAACCCAGTAATTTTTGTATTGGAAAATGCAAAATGTGAGTGCACTTTGAACTTTGAATTCCAAAATTAGCATAAGTACAGGAATACTTTAGTGCTGTTACCATATTTGACATAGTTTTGTCCTTGAACAATGACACGATTTTGCTACCACAGTGCAGTTAGGAAAGAGTAAAATGCTTGTATTAGGAAACAGTGAAATTTGCCTTCATAAATTCACATTGTTGCAAAGCAGCCTCAGTCTTTATTGCATCAGTTTTCTTACAATATTCTGTTTAATGGAGTAGACTGCTAATGGTGGATTGGTCACAGTTTGCTGTAGATAATTTTAGCTTAGTATTTGAAAACAGTGACAAAACAGAAAATGTGTAGGCTTACTTGGAAACTTTTATCATCTGGTCTCAATTTTGGTTGCTTGGAATCAGGTTGTGACAGCATTTGCTCAAGCTTTAGGGAAAACTGTTGCTGAAGTAGTTATTTTCTAAAGAACGCAAGGGAATCTGGAAGGACTATTTTCTAGCAATGCATCAGAAAAATTTGAGAAGTATCAAATGAATTTTGTTAATGATCATTATTTTTCTAAGCAGATTACAAATCCCGAATCTTGGCATTGATGAAAAGTATCAGCAAATACTTCAAAATTATGGTCATGACATAGAAACAGTCTGTAAGATCTACACTAGGCAGAAGCAGGACCCTCCACTGGCTCGTAATCTGCCGCCAATAGCTGGCAAGATCTTGTGGGCACGCCACCTATTCCATAGGATCCAGGAGCCCATGGAGTCTTTCCAGCAGCATCCGGCTGTTCTGCAAACACCAGATGGCAAGCGCATAATCCGCAACTACAACAAAGTAGCAAAAGTTCTTATGGAGTTTGAGGTGATCTACCACAGAGGATGGCTTCAGCAGGTAAACCAGCTGTTTTTGATTTGGATATTTCTTTAAAAAAAAATGTTGTGGTTTTTTGGGTGTTGGTAGACTAATAACATCTAGCTTTATGGTCCAGATTGGATTCCTGTTGTTTCAGGCCTCAATGAAATATTTGGTTACAGCAGTGTGAAGGAATCTCTGGTTAATAGCAGTAGTCAAGTATGCTTAGCTGTAGATTTAGGATGCCTCTTCAGTGAGGGATGGAATAAGAAAAAGTACTTTCTTATAAAGTGTTTCTATTAATAAACAGTGCCTGTACTGCCTGTGGCTGAATTTAGGAGCAATTGAAAGACAGTTATTATAACTAAGAAATTATAGTGAAAAATACTTGTTTTGGAAATGTATTATGCAAGATTCAGTGGTAACCTTAGTGGCCCCTCTGTCTCTGCTGTATCCTACTGACTCTGGTGCTAGAAGGTCATGTGTGGGGTGAGGAGGTTTTTCACCTGGTTAGCTTAAGGTAAAAGCAGACACAAAGGTTTCCTCTGGTCTGGACAATATGGATTTGGTTTTTGAGTGATAATCCTGATTATGGGTATGCTCTGAGTTAACATACATGTAAAAATCATCCAGTCTCAACAGAGAGAGCATCCTGTAGAATTAATAGCATACTCAGTCCACAAGTTTGTTTTGAGCCTGTTGTGGGTTAACCATGGTAGGCAGCTATGCACCACACAATCATTCTGTCATTCCCCGCTCCCCCCTCCCCCCTCAGTGAGACAGGGAAGAGGAAAGGAAAAGTAAAAAGAAGGAAAGCTTGTAGGTTGAGAGAAGTTGTTTATTAAGTGAAGGAGAAGTGGAGGAAGAGAGAAAGAAAACGTGTTGCAAAGGCAATTACTCACTACCTCCCATTGGTCTCCACAGGCAGGCCAGCGTCTAGCCAGTTCCAGTGTAAAAGATGGCTAACACCCTCAATCCCTCCCTCTCCCTTGTTATTGCTGAGCATGACATTATATAGAATGGAATATCTCTTCGGTTATTTCGGTACATCTGCCTGGTTTTGTCCCCTCCCAACCTCTTGTGCATCCCCCCTGTCTATTCACTTCAAGGGGCAGAGCGAGAAACAGAGAAGGCCTTGATGTTTTGCCAAGAATAGTTAAAACATTAGTGTGCTATCAGCATTGTTTTTATTACAAATCTGAAACACAGCATCATACAAGCTGCTGTGAAGAAAATTAACTCCATCCCAGCCAGACCCAGCCAGATCCATTTCATTTCCTATCAACCATTTGGTAAGACAGAACACTCTGTAGTCTGAATATTTTTCAGAAAACATGGTTTACCTTAAGTTCCAAATCTCACTTGACTGATTTTGATCTCTTGGGTTTTGTGTGTAGAACCTCTGACTGCCTTCATATTATCAAATGGCTTCTGCAGGAACTACTTAATAGCCTTGGAATCTCTTCAAGTTTCTACTATCCTGTTGGCATATTTTCCACCTCCAGTTTCTCTATTGCCTTGTCAATGAGCATGTGGTAAAAAAATTGGTCACAGTCTCTCAAATCTCAGAAAGAAGGATCAGAATCTCCAGATGACTGTTTTGAAGGTGGTAGCCCAATTAGCCATGCATCTACCTCTTGTTCTTGGAGCTCAGCCCCAACTTTTGTACAATGTGAAAATCTCTGGTGCTGATAAACATCAGTCTACTCAAAGTAGTCTTATACCAGATCTGAGACCTGAGGTTCCTGCTGTCTTTTACTCGGTCTGAATGTACAAAGATTTCCTGAGTTTTCTTTCCCCCTTCACACTTGCATTTGACATGGAGGTTTAAAGGATCATCAGATTTGATTGTCTGATACTGTAAGAGGGAGTGTTTGTGTCAATTTGATATACTAAAACAGAAGTGACTATAATAGAGGTTGTATAATATGCTATATTCAGATTTTCTTGGCTCTGGTGATTGAGGATCATGGTCTAGTGGGTATGGTAGTGTTGGTTTGATGGTTGGACTAGATGATCTTACAGGTCTTTTCCAGCCTTAGTGTTCTGTGGTGCTGGATGTATGCTACTGATGCTTAATCTGGTGTTAACTGCCAGCTGGGAGTCTAGGAACCTGTAGAGTATTACCTCAACTATAACTTAATTATAGATTATGTTTCAGGTACGTCAGGTCTGAGTTCGGCACTATTGACCGCTGTATAATTGGTCCTTCTCCCAGGCAGTAATGAAAATTGCCACTGTTGTACTTAGCAATGTCTTTAACTCAAGATCTGAGCCTGGAAACTTGAAAAGCCCATCTTTGATTTCATATGCTCTTCACAGAGAGATGGTATGGTATGTGTGTCCTCATGTTTTATGGAAGAGGAATTGATGCTTCAGGAAACCTTTGGCATTTGTTTAGTGTTTCTATGTTGGACTCAATTTTGGTGACAGTACTCATTCCAAGTCTGCTGATGATAGCTTTCACTGAATTGTACTGGCTGATGATACTATGTTCTTGCCTGGGCACTTTTAAGGTATATTCCCTGGGTTAGCTATGAAGACTAAGGAGCATGTATGCTTCTTGTGGGGCTATATCTGGCTTGTTTGATCAGATTTTCTGACATGTACCATCACTTGACAGAGCAGTCAAATACATTTTCCTTTCATCTTTTACAAAATGAGTGTAATATCCAAGGCATCTCCCTTAACTGGTTCCTTTCTTTGTGAGGTCCTAGTGATCCGCGATCTGATTCTGATCTGTGCTAAAAGAAAGCGTCTGCTTTCTCCTGAGGCAGAGTCATAATCGCACTTGGCAGCCATATAAACTTGCTGAACCTTATACTCATTAGGTGGTAATAAGAAGAAGTGGTTTTGAACACAATTTCAAGTTTTTGAAAAGAGCACACATGCCTTGAAAATACATGAAATCTATATTCACTTTAACATCAACGCACTCCTCTACTAGATATGGCAGAAAAATGTGACTATTCAGTAGTCTCTCGAGGCAGCAAGTGTAGGTGGATGTTGACACGAGTGTCATAGAACACAAGGTGGAGCTCCTGCTCTACTCCTGAACAAAACTAAAACGAGGCGAGGGGGCAAGCGTCCTGTGGGGAATACAAATGCAACAGAAATAGGACTGTAGCTCCTACTACTTTTGATTCTTCTATAGAGGGGCAATAGTTAAGCTTAGTGGCACTTTCTGATATATTTGAACATTTTTCCCCTCTTTTGCTGGTTTCTTATTGGATGGTTATCACCTTATTTAGCCACTATTTTTTACTAGCATAAGATTTAAAGATTATAGATTTTTTTTTTTTTTTGGTTGTTGTTGCTATGGTTAATGATGTTCAACTTGGATATATTAAAATAATAAAATAGTGGGAAGGGGGAATTTACACTGTGGTAGGATAAGATTTGTGCCTTCAATGTAGCCCTTAATTCTGTTACCTTAGTAGTTAAAACTGCATGAAAAAAACCCATAAGTGAGAGAGGAAGAGATTGATAGTGGAAATAATAAGTCTGACATCAAAAGAAGAGTGCAGTAAGATTTGCTAGTGAACTCTGCAGAAAAAAAATTTCAGTTGCTATTTAAGACAGCTGTGCTGAGACACTTCGACGCTAGTGGTCAGTGCATGAAAACATAAGTGACAAAACTTGATTATCTGATTTAATGAAAAATGCTCTGTAAAATGTCATGATAATACATGATACAGCTGAAGCAAGCAGTATAGTCAAATATATTTTGGACATTGAAAGCAGGTGCAAATTTTCAGTGTGTGTTTCATAAAAAAAGAAAAAATACACAGAGAGAAATCAATAGGTTATGAAACTATGGCTTAAAAACAAGCTCCATCTCAATGTAATGTGATACATGAAATTTGAAAAGTGAATAAAGAACAATAACATTATGTCAGTAAAAGGACAACTGGAAAATAGGAATAGCAGCGAAGTTTTTCATATTGGCAATATTTCCCTGCCTAAGGCATGACTTCTTCCTGGTATCAGCCAAATTTTCCATGTGTGGTGGTCTTATGAATTCTTTCCCTTCTAATCATATGGAGAAGAAATGGCATTCTAATATTCAAATAAGACAGTTAAACCAATAATGCGATTAGGCTTCCCTTTTAAGAATGAAAAAAAATCAATAATAAACATTTATTTTAGTATTTTGAAAAATTTACTCAGAGTTTGGATATAATTGAGGGTTCCATTAAGATTGGAACGTGTTATATCTGTTAGTGGAAAAGAAACAAAAGGAGAAATGAGGATGAGTTTATTCAAAAATATCTGAAGAATTTATCCAAGAATAATTTAGTTCATAAAGGAGGTTGTGTGCAGCCTTACTGAAGAATGTGCAATAAATTTTAAGGGAATGAGAGTTCAGATTTAATAATAGTGAAGCAAGAAAATCTATGGTTCTGCTTTTGATGTTAGACTGTGGAATGCAGTTTATGATAACCAAGAGCCATCAGAAAAATATATATTGGATAAAGAACAGTTAATGTGATTGGTAAGCATTTAGGTACATACAGTGTGTTAATAAAGTTTAATTGTTGATTCATACCATATCAGTCTTTATTGAATCAGCAGTACCTAATTTTAATATCTGCCAACATGATATTTATGTGCAAGACAAAGTATTTTGTTGTACTGGCATGTCTGATGAGGAATGATGACTTTGTTTTCTGCAGATTGAATTAACTAAAAGAGGACTTCAAGCATCACTCTTGGTAAAGGCTCCAGAAACAGGGGAATTATTTGTGAATTTTGACCCTCAAATACTAACTTTAATCAGAGAAACAGACTGCATGGCTCACATGTGCCTTGAAATCCCACCATTTGCAAGCATTATTCAAGAGAAGAGAGACTGGTATAAGAAGGTTGTCAACAATTTGCATGTAGGTTTATTTTAGTTATTTTATATATGTGTAGTGTACGTTAAGATGTCTAGATTTGTACATATGGAAGAGAAAAAATGAAGATCAACTACTATGCATTAAGAAAATTGGCAAATCTATTTTATATCTTTATGATTGTCTTGAGACACCTTTAAAAAGATTCTTTGGCTTTGTGTTTTCTGTGAAGTCACTTCAAAGATGCATGGGTTTAGGGAAGCTCTTCAGAGCTTAGGAAAGAAAGGAGGAAGGGAAGGAATGGAGGCTTATAAGTTGCCCTGCTCTGTTGCCTGCTTTCTAAATGTTAAGAAGTTTATGTTTCATCCAATAATGGCGTCAACATTGGACACGCTTTATTTTGAGAGGATAGCTGGGAAGGAGGGACAGGTGGTATGCCTTTAAAAAGTAGAAAGCATCCAGCAAGTAGCAGCATAGTTCTTGCACCAGTGTTTTATACAGATGTCTGTGTAATAGTTTAAAAAAGAGAAGCTAAAACTCCCCTTCCTGTCATCTTTTAAATTCTTTGGATCATTTTACCTACCTATGAACAGATAAGGTTCTCTGTGACTCAAGACGAAGATTCAAAGATAGGTGTCCAGAAACTATAGCTTCAAAGGGCTCCTTGATTCTAGGATGAGAAAAAAATGTCATGTTAATTCATAAAGTTATTGCAAGGATTGTTTTTTGCATAACACATGAAACAAGATCAGCATGTTAAAGTTGCATTAGAAACCAAATACCATATTAAAGTTCTGGTAAGGCTGGTCTAATAAAACTGCTGAAAAGCTCACTTACATGTGTTTTATTCCTTGGGCTTTTTGTCTCCTGGAATACCCATTTAGAGACTGAAATTTGCAAACCTTTTTTTATATTGTGGTTTAACCCCAGTAGGCACCTAAGTGTCACACAGGTGCTTGCTTACTCCTCCCAGTGTGATGCTCCAGATAATACGAAGGTTAAAAGAGATGATGTGGGTTGAGATAAAAAGTTTGACAGGGAAAGCAAAAACTGCACGCAGAAGCAAAGCAAAATAGGGAATTAATTTACTACTTCCCATCAGCATGCTGCTGTTCAGCCATCTCCAGGAAAGCAAAGTTGTATCATGGTTACTTGGGAAGACAAATGCCATAGCTCTGAACATCCCCCTTCCTTCTATCTTTATTTATTTGTTTTTAAATTTATACTCCAGGGTTTTTTTTTTGTTTGTTTGTTTTGTTTTGGTTTTTTTTAAGCATGATGCCAGTCCTATGGAATATCCCTTTGGTCACATGGGGTCAGCTGTCCTGGTTGTGTTCCCTCCCAACCTCCTGTGTGTCCCCAGCCTACTCACTGGCAGGGTTGTGTGAGAAGCAGAAAAAAACACCATGCTGTATGGGCACTATTCAGCAGTAGCCAAAACTTCCTGTGTGTTATTAACAGTTTTGGTCACAAATCTAAAACATGGCACCATATGAGTCACTGTGAAAGAAGTTAACTCCATCCCAGCCAAAACCAGTACAATTATAATTTCTTAAGAATTTCAGAGATGTACATCCAGAGGAATTTTCTTGAGTTATGATAAATATGTGTGTGTGAAGAGATTTGTATCAGTGTATATTAATCAATGCTTTGAATTTCCCTTTATTTCAGATGATGCTGGCAGAATATAAAAGAATTAAACTGAAAATACAAGAACCTATTGAACAACTGATGGCTCCTCGGTTAGCAAATGTAGATAATGCTATCCAGCCAGGTCTAATGTTATTGACCTGGACATCCTTGAATATTGAGAAATATATTAATACAGTTTTTTACAAGCTAGGTAAGTCACCCTCCTCCTTCCATTAACTTCTGCTTGTTTGTTTCTGTAAAAAGGCCAGCTATATTATTAAGCTCACTGTCTTTTATATGATTTGCACTTAATTGACTTATACATGAAATAAATCAGAATTTTCACCTGTCCTGTGCTTTGTCAAAGCCCTGCTTGTTAACAACACCTTCTTTTGGTCTTGCCTATTTGTCAAATTTTTACTAATACGGATGGGGTGGCAGTTAGGATTAAACCAAGCATAAGGTAGTGTGCATAACATCATGTGTATTCTGACTTCAAAGAATGATAGTTACTTTTTAAAAGAGCTCCTATGTTTCAGATGTTTTCTAATCTTGACTTTTGTCTCTATAATTTACAAACAAGTTCTCTGAGAATTATATCTTGACTGAGTTGACACTGTCACTGCTCAACAGCTTTTCATATTAACCTTTAATTTAACATTACTCTCTTTAAAACTAATGCACACACATCTTAGGCAACAGTTTTAGAAAACAGATGAGCTTGTAGTCTGTTCAAAAGTACAAGATTTTACTGAGGTGTGTGTTGTTCCTGAAGATACCAAGTTCCTTTTGCTGCAGCTCTATTACTACATCAAACATTTTTTAAATGATATAAGTACTTATAGTGGGAATTTTATTTAGTTGAAATGACAAATTAAAATGTATTTTGCATGCTAACTTGACATTACACTCAATTTAATTTTGAATAATACAGTAGTTTGTCTGGAACAGGCACCTTGCTGCTATTTCAATTTCAGCATTGAAAGCAAGTTGCTATTAAACTGTGAATATTCTAGTAATTGTTTTCTGTGAACTGTTATTTGGCTTCTAACATTTTGTTGAAGGATAGATATTTATTTGTCAAAATTTTCTATTGCTAGTAGTTTCTCCAAGTGGTAACAAGTTCAAGCTATAGGAGAAGTATTCCTGGACCTCAACTGAATTTGAATGTTTTTGTGTTTGAAATGCACATATTTTAATTTCATCCTATCTATATTTATAATATTTTGCCTATTAACTTTTAGGATACATGTATAGCATATGCTAGATGAGCATATGTTATGCAAAAAATTAACACTTATTTCAGTGGTGAAGCTTGCCAGAGAAGTTTATATGTTTGAAGTACGCTGGTTAAGGTATAGAGTCATATAAAATTAAATATAATATTTTGCTGAAGTAAAAATGTAAGCAGGATTGCAAAGACTATTGTTTCAAACTTTTAAGTTTTTCTTGAATTGTCTCTTTGATTCAAAAGCTGGGCTGGAGTTATTGCTTGATCGAGTGTATGACTTGATGGAGTTTCGTATTGATGCTGTCCTTCAAGAAATGAATAGAGTGCCGCTCTGTAAGTTGCCAGAAGATGAACCACTGAGCTGTGAGGAATTTCTCCAGAAGACTAAGGTTATTAGATAAAAGTTTCGTAATGATTAAATGACTTTGAATTCTTTTTTTTTTTTTTTAAATATATATGAGATAAAACAAATGTAGAATTAATGAAGCATCTGTGGGAAACTGAAGTAAGGAGATCCCCACTTGCTTTGCTGGAACCTTAAAGAATAAAAATACCAAATGCAAAGAGGTCTGAGCTTAGATGTTCCTTTCTGAGCTTATTCATGCCAAGCCAATTATTGCATGATATTTTTTTTATGCTTTGATATCACTCAACTTAAACGTTTTTCCTCTGTGGTAGTATATTTTTTTGTCATTGATGCTTGTTAGTGCATTTAAATGAGGGAATTGCCCATGTGATGTCTGTGAATAGCTCCATAACAAGTGCACTTCATTGCCTGGGAGAGTAAATACTATGGAAATGATTGTGTTTACTGAATATTTTTGTTAATCTCGAGCTCTTATGAGTTGGCAATGGGATGTGCAAAATATACTCAGAAGTACCTGGGGGAAGGTATTATGGGAATAACCCCTTCCTTCACTCCATCAAAATACTTTTATGTTGAGGAGGATTAACTGCAGTCATGTAAGTTGTTAGTTAGTTAGAAAGATGATTAAGCTGATAATAAAATTGAATGTCAGAATGATTTTTATTAGGCAATGGTGAGATATTCTGACATTTTAGGATATAATGTCGAATTTGTGTTTGCTGCTGAAATAAATTTTGCTTTAGAAAATATTGTAGAAGATCATGTGTATGATCCCCATCCCTGGCCTCTTGTAACCATAAATAATACAAATGAAAGTTTTGTTTTTCTTAGTGTACTTAACTTCTTGGCCTTTCCTCTTTTGTCCCTTGTAACAGCTCACCTTGTTGTTAAATACAAACTAAAATTTAAAATAATAGTTTATGGAATGAATGATATTTTGTAAGCATCACAGTCCATCTCTTTTTTTTTTTTTTTTTTGGTTAATCCTGCTACTGCTTACTGCTTTCCTGATAGGGCTGGTACTAAAACGTATACTAAAACTAAAGTGAAAATAAGTGAGAGTGAGCACAAAAATCTTCTCAGCACTGTTTCATAATTGATAGTGCTTAATGTTGATCTTCTGCAAGAAAACTTGAACTGCTACATAGCAATTACAATACCACAACAGTAACCAGTTTGAGTTAGCAGAGTAAGTGGTATATTGACCACAGTTATGGATACATTGAAAATAGTGACAGTGCTTGTAAAATGTAGTTTTTAATAAGAAGGGACTGGAAATAAATTCTATCACTTACAGGTGTATTTAAGTTCCTAAAGAAATTGCTGCAAGAAAAAAATTATATACCATGGGAAAAACCCCCGAAGTACTTTGTTTGCTAGTTGCTGTGATATAGCAAATCAGATTCTCTATCAACTGGACTGAATCATAAGGAACATCAAAGATTGTGTCTTAAAACTTGGAAAGAACTAAATCTTGCTAATATCTGATTTTTTTCCAATTACTGATTTTTAATTAAATGGCAGTAGCTAGGTTTGATTAAGCTTAAAGTAATAAATAACAAAGAAGAAAAAATTAAAAGGCACTTATAGTTAAAAATTATAATTGGCTAAATCATACTTGATCAGTTTTTCCATAAATATTAAAGAAAAAAGTGCATAATACTTTAATATATTTCTGAATTTTATCAAATCTCATCCTTTGATTCCTTCTCCCCCCAGTTAATGATTTTCTTGTTTATTCTAATAATAAATACAAGTTTTGATATATTTTATCTCCTGTCTAGCTATAAATGTGAAATACGATTTGGTAATACTCCTTATGCATGGTACAGCCAAGTAATGTAATGGCAATGATTAAAAGAAAAGTTAAATCTTTCATGTCTACATTGGAAAGTTAAGAAAATTACGAAGCACTTGCTTTTCGGAGGTCTTTAGTGGAACTAGGCTTTATAAATATTGGTTCATAATATTAACTATGGATGAATGGTGATTTAAGAAACAAGACACAGCAAATTTGAAAGCCATTTATGGTATCTTGTTAGACACAACAAGGAATCCAACGCTAAATAGTTTGGAACAAACCAATTTCAAAATAACATATATTGATCTTGTTTTTCACAAATCTGAGGCCTTGACATTTGTGTTAATGAAGACTGATGTGACCACAAAATAGACATGAGGACTGGGAAAATAAGAACACGTATTTGTTTTGGTTTGATACAGGAGCTCTGTATAAAAGGTTCTTGGACTTTACATTTAAAAAGCTCACTGGTGGAAGATGCTGCTAATGAGCTGATTAACATGTTACTTGACGAAGAGGTGCAGGTCAGGAAAGATAAGAAGTCAGTTGTATCCAGTGGTGAAATAAGAGGAAAATATACAGGTAAGAAGTTTGTATTGTAGCTCTGTGCTTATGTTTCTTTTGCATGGTGATAGTATGTGTTCAGGAATATTGTATCTCAGCTGACTGAAGTATCAATCAGTATCTAATGTCTAATCTTAGATTAGTATCTAATCTAAGTTTTTTGTTTGAATTTGCCTGGGTAATGGATCATCTAAAAAACAACTGTTATCTGCCGTATAGGTCATTATTACTATTCTAACTTGCATGTTGAAATGTTAATGCCATAGAAGCAGGTACTTACAGGCCTCGGTTAACTTCTGGACTTCCTAGAGAAAGAATATGAGAAATAATATCTAAGTTTTGGTGATAGTCATGCTGGTTTGTAGTGAGTAGAGAATGTGGATATGAGTAAAAGAACTGGTAGATTGAGGTACAGATTATAAATGAGTATAATCTGCACTTCTGTAAAAGTTAGCTGTATTTCAGACACCTGTGGAGGTGTTGCTTTATTATGTTTTCAGGTTCCCTAAGTCAATTTAACTAACTAGATTTATGATGTTTTAGCAACAGAAGAAGAAAAAAGATCAAAAAGCTTGACTTCCTCCCACAATTCCAGCGATATATGGGCTGGACTGTCACCTCCAGCAAAGAGGAAGAGAATGGATTTAGAAATGTTAGAGGAAAAAGCCAATGAACTGCTTTCCTACTTCAACCATTGTAATATTGACGCCCTTTTGAAAGTCACTCGAAACACTCTGGAGACCATACGGAAGCGCATCCATGCATCTTCCATGATCAACTTCTTAGGTGGCCATATTGCAATACTTTACTTTCTTAGCCTATCTAAAGAAATACGTAAATGTAATATGCCAGAACTATATAAAAAAGAGCCACATATGTAAAAGAGGAGAGAATGAAAGGAGTTTGAATAAGCTGTCTTGTTAAATCACAACTGGTTACATGGTGTATTTCCAAAGGAATTTTTTTCCTGGGACAGTAGTAATGTGTCATTGCGATGCCATTTCTCTTAGGATTGACTGTACTGTTCTGAAGATGGATATTGCATTTGGAGCTGGACTTGATAAGTGGTTACCTGTTTGACCTTGGCTTTTACATAAAACTGTATGAAAAAAAAAAAAGCACATTAGAGAAATGGGTGTGTTCTCTTTCTCTTGGTAATTGTCTTCAGGTCTTTCTATACATTATGATGGAAAGCTCTTTTGAAGTGTTTTCTTGTTACATACTTTTAAGAAACAAAAATAATGGCATTTGAATTTAGTATCTATAGGATATAAGACAGACAATATTATGAGATTCTAAGGAGTTTTTGTGATCAGTTTAATATACTGACTAGGAGTATAAACCAGATAAAATCTTCTGCTAAACAATGCTTAGCTGCACAGACCAAGTTGAAAAGGAGCTTCATGGAGAGAAATAGCATGACATTTAGTTTTCACTTTATAATACATCTTGTATATTATTCAAGAACCATTTTTTTCTTTAAGAAATTACACCCAGTACTCAACACTAGGATATATGTATTGGTTTACATCTTTACAATGCCTAGTTTGATGTCTTGAAAAAAAATGTGAACAAGTTTTCTTCTTTTTTTTCCCTTTCATTTAGAAAATCACAGTGATTCTATGCAGAAAAAAGGTGCTCATCCTATAATTAGGACAAGTATTAACCTATCTATCCCTAATATTATCATGACACCCTCTTTGGATGAGGTACAGCAGACACTTAATAAAGCTGTAGATTATATTGTTAAAGTAACAAAAGGAGTTGGACAGTGGAGTAAAGAGAGAATGTCCAAGGTTTGTGTCTTTAACAGCCTTACTTAAAGCTGATGTTTCAAAACTAATGCAAATGAAAAATGAAATTTTACTTTTTCCCCAGAAGAAGATGTTAGACAGAAAAGTGGCTGTGTTGCGGTGTGAGAGCAGAGACAGTGATTCTGATGATGGAATGAAAGAGACTGGAAAGAAAAACCTTTATGGTAAAGATGAATTCTGACATCACTGAATTTGAATGCTATGTAAATGACTTACACAGAATGTGTTAAAATATGTTAAATACAAAATGCATCAAAAGCAGTAGAACAAAGACTTAATGGATTTTAAACTACCTCAGAGAAGAAATAGTATATAATAAAAATACCAGAGCTTGTCTTTCTGGTTAGAAACCAGGCTTGTCTGAAGATGGTTTTCTTTGTGTGGATTTGAGTAGGGATTTTTTTTGTGCTTCTCAGAGCTATGCTGCCTTGTGTCTACCTGCAGCATGTGATAAAGCTTGTCTGCTTGGGCAGCATAGTAGAAATTGTGAATGAGATGGAAAACAGTTACAGTCACTGTTGCTACACAAAATAGCTATGATTTGCCAGTGTGGTTAGTGACTTGACATGTTCAGATGCCATCTTAAAACTTGTGCTGAAATTCCTTTAAGACGTGTAAGTTGACCTTAAACAAAACCTGGTATTGAATACAAATGTCTGTATAAATTGCAGTATTGGTGGGGGGAGGATTGTGTAGAGGATTGAATAGACTCAAATTTCTAAAAGGATTTTGGCTTAATTTGTTTTGTGATCAGGCATGGAATGAAGGTGTTGAAGGTATTAATTCAAGGAAATTTAAGATGGTGCCTTTGGTTGCTGGGTTTTCCTTGTCTGAAATGGTGTAGAATCAAACCAAATCACTGTACTTCAGACACTTCCAAAATATATTGAGTCTTTTTAGTTTAGCTCCTTCTTATGCACCTAAAAAGAAGGAAAGTAGTACTTGAGCTGGTTAAGAAATGAAATTGTTCTTTCAAAACTAAGATTGTCTCTTACCTGAGATGAAATAAGAAATGATAATATGTTCAGTCTTGTGGGTATTTGCTAACTAATGGACCTTCCTTGAATTTCTTTTCTTTTGAGTACTGGCTGTGATTATCATCTCTGATTTAATGTTAATTTGTATTTCAGATTGTCAGTTTACCCCACATTATTTCAGAGAATAAAAATCATGTCAGCTCAATGCTGACATATTAGTAAATCGCTTAGGTGAAGTGTACAGGATAAACCTTGGGGAAGGGTGAGAGAAAAGGAAAGATTGTATTTGAAATATTGGAGTGGAACTTGTTCGAAATTTGACAAGGTACCTAGATGAAGGAAGTTTCCTAAAATGGAGAGGTTTATGAATTTGTGGCAATTACATTGGCTACTGAGACTTCTAGTTGCCTTTTTGATTAATAAGAAGGCATAACTTTAAAATGCATGCTTATTGAAAAATGGGTCATTATTTTTTGTCTACAGAAATATGTTTGGCCTAAACAGTGTCTGTCCTAAAACTGCTTTTGTATTTGGATCTGCCTTTTCAGAGAGTGTGTCAGATGCAGCATCACTCAGTTTGTCTGATCCAGTGCAAAGCCAAAACTACTTCAAGAGTGTTTCAGAGAACAAAGAAATAATTAAATTAGTATCTTTACTCAGCACTGCTATTAATTCTACAAAAAGGGTAAGACAATTGAGATGTTAATTTAATATCACTGTCCAAGGGATATTAATGTATTACTTTTAATATCCTCAGGCAATAAGGGCAGGCATGTAAAGCAGTGATTAAACATACGAATGAAAAAGTGTAGGATGGTGGAGGGAAAAAATGCAGCTTCAAATTTGCAAATATGCTTTGAAAGTGTAACGTGGGTTAAGTGTACTCTGTTCAAAAATGTATGAGGTTTTGAATATTTCATAAAGTAGAACTTAGGCCTGATTAAAAACATATCTCCAATCGGTAAAACATCATAAAAAACTCTAGGTATAGTTGAGTTGTGTGTATTTAATATAGAACTGATAGCAATTGTGCAAGTGTGTTAAATGCAGTTTTATTAACATACAAATTCTAATGAAGCTAGCAGGACTTCTGGCCTATTATGAACAGTTTATGAAGGTTTCTGGAAGAAAAACTGGCTGTTAGCTTGGCATTTGTAAAGCGCTGCATAGGATTTGCTGCTGAAGGTTAGGAGATAGCTTTAAGGGATATGCATAGTTTCTTTGCTTTTTTTTTTTTTTTTTATTCTATGCACTCTCTAGTAAACTGTGTGTATTGAGCTGATACTTGTTTGGGGAACTTTTCATCAGTTCCTCCTGGGGTCAGTCCAGCCTTACAATGGAGGCTTGCCAGGGGGGAATTTTTGACTTAAAGCCTTGTAACTTCAGTGCTACTACAGCATAAGTAGCACATGAAATGCAGGCTTGTGCTGAAGACAGAGTGCAGTTGATAATTGTGGATAGTTATCTTGTTTTCTTGATACCAAATGTTTTGTAATTAGAAACTTCTATCATTTAGACATGTTTGAATGTTTGCAAGCACTGTGTTTATCATAAGTCATGATGTGGATTATCTCTTGTAGTAGTAGCAGTCACCTCTCATTTACTTGTTTAATTAGCTGAAGTGATGATGATTTAACTTTGACCTTTTCCTGAACTCCTGAGAACCAGAAAAATGTTTTTGTTGCACACTCTTTAAATGATATTCAGATCAATGATACCTGAATTGGGTCTAGAACTTAATGTTAACATCAGCAATATAATACATGTAAAAAAAATTATAACTTTGTTATTCAAGAGCCAATTGAGTTACTGCTGTTGTTATGTTGGGCCCTGGAGCTCAGGTTTCAGTTGCTAGTGCAATAAGTAGTAGGGAAGGCTGAGTGTACTGTATACTAGTCTTAAAGGGGTATTTTACTTCCCACTGATTCCTAGGATTTTATTGACTGACAAATCACTTCATTGGAAAATACTGTAACTGATTTGACAAACTGAATGTGATTATTTCCTGGCAAAGCTTGTGTTTGCTAATGGCACTTGCTTTAACATAAGTTTACTGTAGCTTTCTGTTTAGTGAGGTGATGCAACCTGCTCCACTATGGACTTCTTAATGTATTCTAATGAGCATACACTAAGAAATATGTATGCTATACATACAACACTGAGAATCTGTCTTTGAACTTCTAATGTGTTTCAGGAAGTTCTTACAGCTTTGGAAAGTTTTAATTGTTACCACCATGTATGGCAGAGGGACAAGGAGGAAACCATTGATAAATTAATGATGGGAAACCCATTACTTTCTGAATTTGAATCTGAAATTCTACATTTCCAAGCCCTGGAGCTGAAAATCAATTCTGAGCCTGAATACATCTGCGTGGGAGCTGTTGCACTGTACACTGGTAGAGTTCAGCTTTCTGCTTCTCTCTAGACATAGACTTTCTTACTATAGGAAGTGGCAATGTGCTTAGTTTTGGATGGGTGATCCAGGTTAAAGCTGGAAAGGAGGAAGAGAGAGAATGGCTGTTTGCTGTTTTGGTTGTAAATGCATGCAGGCAAAAAAGTAATGCAGGGGTGGCTGTGGGGCACAGCTGGAATTTCTTCTCCCACCTGGATACTTCTGCTAACTTATGGGGTGGATGGTAGATATTTTCCTATCCTTCAGTCACTGACAGACTTTGGATTTAGATGAGAATATTAACTAATTTGTTAGTGACGTGTAGGACAGAAATGTCTATAGTGATACATGAACAAGGTGACAAGTGTGCAGGCCAGCCTCTTCTTTCCAGTAGGAAATCTGAGAAGATTAGGAGGAAAGCAATCTGGAATTGCAAGCAATTCTATAAACCACTCAAAGGTTTCAATGTGATTTCATCTGCTCTGTACATGAATGGTTAGACTGCAAACCCAAAACTGGGAGTGAAGAGAACACATATTGAAAGAAGATTAAAAGTGCATCTCAAAAAAATATCTGCAATATCTAATATCTGTTCATTGTTCAATGTTTTCAGCTGATCTGAAGGTAGCACTGAGAGCAGAAACCAAAGCCTGGATGACTTCTCTGGGGTGTCATTGTAATAAGAAGTACCGAACAGAGATGGAAGCAATTTTCACTTTTATAGAGGAAACTGGCAAGAAGTTAAATCGCCGCATCAAGGATCTGGATGATATAAGAATAGCCATGTCAGCTTTAAAAGAGATCAGAGAACTACAGATCTCCATAGATTCTAAAGTTGGGCCCATTGAGGTAGTTAACAAGCATCTTGCAAGTATGGGTACTATTTCAACAGAGCTACTTTTTGAAGCAGGAGGTGGTTTAGTGAATAGTGCAGAAACTGAGTGATTTGAGTAAGAGGAAGATCAGAATACAGATATTTAGTTCAAGAAAGCTCTTGGTACTTTGTGGAATAAGTGTGCATGAAAAGCATTGATTTTTCCTCTTTTTTTTTTTTTACTTTGCTTACAGAAGAGGAGAAAGCTAACGTTAGCTATGAGAATGTGTGAGTGTGACTGCTTTATCAGCTATGTCATAGATTGAAATGACCATAAATAATTTAGCTCTTTAATGAAATTCACTTATGAGAATACATTTAGTGAAAATCTGACAAGGTAGGGACTTCTGGTCAAATGACAGAATTAAAAACAGATAGTAACTGTTTCTCTACAGTCCTGACTGGAGTATGGATTTAAGAATACTGTAGTTTGACATAACGCACCATTGACTAGACATGTTTTTATAAGACATTTCCCTCGTTATTCCTGATTATCCATAATTTTACTGTCAGGGTTTTGTTCTTATTGTTTTAAATTAGAGTAACCTAACACAGAATTCATATCTACCAAATACTGAAAATTCTGATACTCTGCTTTGTCAATGAAAAAAACTGTATTTGCTCTCAGACAAATGTCTTACACCTGTGTTTTCTGATGCTGTTTTCTCTGAGCTGAGGTAAACTACGGAATGCAGAATGTATTTGTATGTGCAAATAATGGAAATTGGCTTGGAGTCCTTCCATATTTTGCAGAATACAGCTAAGAAGGAATGTATCTCTCAGCCTTAGAAGTTGTAAGGGTCTCTCTAGTTGTGTGAAGGAGCGAAAATAGGACAAGTAGTTTATGGTGAAAAGCAAACCATTCCTACATCTGCAACCTTATGTGAAACTGTCATAGGGAACAGGTTCTGTTAGGAAGTGACGTTTTGGAAGTTCCTGCTAAGACCTGTCCTGGTTTGCTATGTTATATGAAGCCAAGGCAAAAGCCCTGGTAGCCAAGGATACCTCAGCTTCCAATTTTACAAGCAGGAGCATCGAGTCCATGGGAACAAGGAGTTGTTCTTCAGATCTTTGAAATGGAGGATTGTGGAGCATTTATACATTGGAGATACAAGTGATTAATATTCTGAGAAAACAAAAGACCATGAAGTAGATTTTTATTTAGATTTGTCATTCTGAATGGTAAATAACTATAACATTTGAAATAGTTGCAACATATTAGTTGTGGTAACTTTTGATTTAGTTTCCTAATTCTTTTTTGTTGAAAACATGAAGTTGGGCTTAATGAAGGTCTTTACTGAATAGTAGTTTGATTCAATTACTTGAAGGCCTCTGCTTAGTTGCTTTCCCATGGCTCACTTACTGTAATATTCAGCTTGGGTCATAACAGATAACTGAAGAAATGGATTGGGAAAATATTCTTATTAAAATGAAACAAAAACCTGCAGTCTTAAGGAGTACTTTAACTGGAAATAGATTTTTAGAGAGGCAAATTGCACTAGGGCAAATAATCTATCTGAAAGCAGAATTCTGTGTGAAAGGTAAGGAGTTAAGGAGAACTAGCTAGTTTTCATTTTTATGTTTCTTCCAGGTTTGTATTAGTTTGCCAGATTATGATAACTGCTGTGCAAAAAGAACAGATTTTTATTTTCTAACAGATCATTCTCTGTTTTAAGAATTCAAAATTTTAGTATACATATATGTGTAAAATTAATTTTAGTTACCATTCTGTGTATCTTGATCCAACCTTTTGACAGGAATCCTATGCTTTGTTAAACAAATATAATCTACTTGTGGCCAAGGAAGAGACAGAGAAGGTGGACACTTTGCACTACACTTGGGAAAAACTGTTAATCCGTGCAAATGAAGTGCAAAATGAGCTCATTGCTTTGCAGCCAAGCTTCAGAGAAGAGCTTATTAGCTCTGTGAAGACTTTTACTGAAGAGTGTGCGCAGTTCTATTCAGATTATGACCAGGCAAGTGTTTGTGGTGTATTGTATTAGAGGAGTTTTTGAAGAGCAGTGAGAGCATGGAAAGATTGTGGAGTTGAGTGATGTGGCACATCAAATGTGCCTCCACTGTCTGAAAAAGATGCTTATTCTTAATGTTGTATTTGAGTTTCCATGCAGAGCAGGCTTTGCTTATTTGTTGTATGTGACTAAAGTATGTAATGCTGGTAATCAGCTCTTAAAGATTAAGACTTGAGACATCCAGGTTTTATGATAAACAACTAGTTAGCATGAACAAATGTGAAGATTGTATTAATGAGAAATTATATTACCATGTAAGAAGCATTTTCTGATGTACTTATATCCAAATGACTTAAGCTCTTATATTCTTTCTCAGCAGAATATAAATAAGTCAAGCTGAACCAGTCTTGTATCATTTTCCAAGAAATTCTGATTTTTACTTGAAAAAGAAGCTACCATTGCCTAGCTTTTACAGTGTTACGAAACTTTAGTATTAAAAAGATATTTAATTGCCTCCTTTGTTTTTTGTTTTCTTTTTTTTGTTGTTTGTTTGTTTGGTTTTTTCTTTGTTTTGGATTTAAATAAAGGGCTTGTTGTATGTAACTGAGTTCGTGGTTCAGTTGTTACCTGACATAGTGATGGAATACTGCAGCTGCAAAAATTTTTGAGTTTAGCCTTGTTGTAGTATGTAACTGAGTTCAGTGGTTCAGTTGTTACCTGACATAGTGATGGAATACTGCAGCTGCAAAAATTTTTGAGTTTAGCATTTAGACCATGCTGATTAGAAGTAAGTTCTGGCAATTTTCACTCTCTAAATTAACTTTTTTTTTGTTTTGTTAGAATGGACCAATGGTGGTTGGCTTAGAGCCTCAGGAAGCAAGTGACAGGCTTACTATGTTTCAGGTACTGTTAATTCTAAGACATTGCTTAATACTTATTACAAGTAAACTAACACCTGAAGTCTCTGAAAATAGAATGGTTTGGGTTGGAAGGGACCTTAAAGATCACCTAGTTCCAACCCCCCTGCCGTGAGCAGGGACACCTTCCACTAGACCAGGTTGCTCAAAGCCTGATCCAGCCTGGCCTTGAACACTTCCAGGGATGGGGCATCCACAGCTTCTCTGAGCAACCTGTGCCAGTGCCTCACCACCCTCTCCGGGAAGAACTTCTTCCTGATATCCAATCTAAATCATCCCCACTTTCAATTTTAACCCGTTACCCCTTGTCTTGTCACTACAGGCCCTTGTAAAAAGTCCCCCCCAGCTTCCTTGTAGCCCCTTCAGGTACTGGAAGGCTGCAATAAGGTCTCCCCGGAGCCTTCTCTTCTCCAGGCTGAACAAGCCCAACTCTCTCAGCCTGTCCCCAGGTGTTCCAGTCAATTTCTAAAGATGTGACTCCAAACTAACTAAAAGTTACTTTTCTCATGAAAAGTGTTGACAAAACTCTTGACAGTGAAAGTTCAGTATCTCCTATATGTCTTTCTAGTGTTTACTAGATTTTAATCACTAATGAGTTCTAAGAATAATGCCAGATCTTAAATATTCATGTTATTTGTTTATTTATTTTCCCCTTAGAATCAATTTGATAATCTTTTTCGGAAATATGTTACCTATAGTGGTGGTGAAGATCTTTTTGGTTTGCCTGCTACTCGGTATCCTCAGCTGTTTGAAATAAAGAAGCAACTGAATCTGTTACAGAAACTGTACAATCTGTATAACAATGTCATTGATACAGTCAGTGGCTACTATGATATTCTTTGGTCAGAATTAGACACTGGAAAAATTAACAGTGAACTTCTGGAATTTGAGAACAGGTGAGAAATGGCTGCTGAGGTAAAAATGCCTAAAATATTTTTGTTACTTCTTAAATATGATTATAACTGGTTAAAACCAATAATCACATCTGAGTATGTATTTGTTCATTGTAACATGAAAAATGTGAATTTTAGGTGAAAAATATATATCCTTTACCAACTTCATATAATGAAGAAGCCTGTTGAGACTAAATGCTGAGGATTATTGTTCCTATGAGAGCTTATTTGTTAAGTTTTTTGATGAGATTGGAATATATGTTAAAATTGCTATTTATTTTGTTCATGAAGGGAAATTTTACTTGTTTGTTGTAATATTATTATTATTCATGAGGGACAGATTTACCATATATGTCTAAGGCAAGTTAGTGAATTGCTGAATAGTTTTCCTACAAAATGGTATCTAGGGCATGCATAGAAGCTGAACTTCTCATCAAATCGTGAATAAAATGATTTAAAGAATTAAACCTGCATGTTCTGAGGAACATGGTTTTTTTCTAGAGCACAGAGCAGTGCATATCATGAGCCTCACCAAAAGATGAAATCAAGATGTAAAGTGATTCTGTTGCTTTTGAAGATTGCTTGGACTAAGTGTATTAGAATTATGCAGCTACATTCCCTAATGGGAGCCTGTAGGTGCCTGCCCAGCTATCAGTCAATGAAATATATGGGAAACAGTTTTTCTCACCTGCAGAATAAACATACAGAATCTTCAAATACCTTCCAAATTCAGGTTACCTCTATGTGCTCTGCTATTAAGACCGTATACTGTTGTTAAATGGGTAACAGAAAGAATATTTGAAGCTACTGAAAAAGGTTGCATTATTTCTACATAGGTGTCGTAAGCTTCCTCGTGGTGTAAAGGAATGGCAGGCCTTTTTTGACCTAAAGAAGACCATTGAGGACTTCAGTGAGTGTTGCCCATTGCTTGAGCATATGTCAAGTAAAGCAATGATGCCTCGGCACTGGAAGCGGATTACGGATCTCACTGAACACAACTTTGACGTGGAAAGTGAAACATTCAAACTGAGAAATATAATGGAAGCTCCACTATTAAGATATAAGGAGGAAATAGAGGTATTGTGAAGGAAGAGAAATGGGTGTATGAAACAGAATAATCTGCTCTAATAGTGTAGAAGTAATCATAGTAAGAAGGAAACCAGAATATTTCTAAAGAAGGAGCAGGGAAATGGATGATCACTTCACCTTTCTGTATAAAAAAATGCCAAAAATGTATTATGGTGCCAACTCCTCTTTTTAAATCATGCAACTTGGTCCAGGAGTTAATATGTGAGGATGCCCTGCTTTGCAACGTTAAAGATAAGAAAAGCAATTACTGTATTATTCTTTTATTCCCTCCCCAAGCTGGCCATATTGTGATGTGGTATACAGATTATTAGCTATGGCGTTTGGTATGTTTGTAGATCTTTCCACTTGATAAGTAATTCCTCATCAGCCTTACTAGAGTTAAAGGAAATTGAAGTTAGATTTGTATATTGGACACTTGAACCATTCATAGCTTGTTTTGACAACTTATTTATTTAAAAGGATATCTGCATAAGTGCTATGAAGGAGAGAGACATTGAGCAGAAGTTAAAACAAGTGATAGCTGAATGGGACAACAAAACATTTATCTTTGCAAACTTTAAAACCCGTGGGGAACTTCTTTTAAGAGGTGACAGCACATCAGAAACCATTGCTACCATGGAGGACAGCTTGATGATTCTTGGCACTCTCATGAATAACAGGTAACAGGAAATGGGGTGGGGTGGGGGATGGGAATGATAAAAATATTGTCAAGAGGCTTTGTTTTACTGAAAAAAATCTTTCACAGAAGAGAAGGAAAATAAACGTCTAGATAAAAACTAAGAGCTTGATTGTCCTTGAACTGGTCATGGGCTGGTTCTCACTGCCTGTATCCCTCCAATAAGTTATTTTGAAACATATGGATTCAGTTCAGACTTCCTGAATAATGAACTGGGCAGTTTTCATCGATGCAGAAAGTGTTGATGGGCTTAAAGGAACACTGCCTGGTTGTGACAGGCATACTATGGGAATTACAGGCACTGCTACTCTGCCCCCTGGGATAGGTCACTGCCTCATGCCGAAGGTGCTGAAAATCACAGTTAAAATGAGCTTCAGATTGTCTGACTTCACATGTCAAAGCCTGCAGATAAGGAACACAGAACCTGATCATCAGGCAGATGTTCAAAAACGGGAGTTCAGTTGATAAGGAACTCTGAGAGTCATGTAGCTTTCAAGGTGTTGCATAGTCCTTTTTTCAATCTACTTTATCTTAAATTGAAATTACATTCTTGCTCCTATTCCCATTCTATTGGACCAGAGCTGCAATACTTACCACGTGTACAAAGCAGCAGGTTGGAGCTGATGTGGTTTGTAGCTGCTAACTAGCTGAATTGAGTCAATTATAGGTTTTTTTTATATAATTTCAGTTGACAAAGATACAAGCAGCAAAATTATTCCTCATCCTTATAAGTAACATGCTGGCTTTTGAGGGACTTGTTTCCTTCTTGAAATAAAGCAAGTGTCTTCTTTTTATTTTAGATACAACACACCCTTTAAGATGCAGATTCAGAAATGGGTGCACTATCTTTCCAACACAACAGATATCATTGAGAACTGGATGACTGTGCAGAACTTGTGGATTTATTTAGAAGCTGTTTTTGTTGGTGGTGACATAGCAAAGCAGCTTCCAAAGGTTTTCAGATATGTCTTTTTTCAGTTTGGTTTTCTACATTTTAAGAATAAATCTTAACTCTGATGTAATTGATGCAATAACATAAACTTAATTTTTTGGTATTCAGCAACATTAGTCTTGCTAAGAAATTAGATGAACAATGCCAACAGAAATATTGTGTTAGAAACACGAATAAAATTGTGTGAGCCAGTTTAGCTTTCTATTTTTAGATTGTAAAATTCTTAATCAACATGTGTTTAATTGTTGTGCCTAGTAGTAGCCTAGCCAGGCTAGCCTAGTAGTTAGTACCTACCCCTAGCCTAGTAGTACCTACCACTAACCTAGTAGTACCTAGGAATCCTTATCTTAAACTCCTCTTATACAGCTTTTCAAATGAAAATTTAGTTTTTAGAAAAAAATATCTTCAAATTTGAAGCATGCAAATCAAGCATAATGAGTTTTCTGCCTTCTTCTCTAAGAATGATTGAAAGAGAAAGTAGAAAGCCTGCTGTATTGTTTAAGCAGAAAGATTTGTGTTTTCCTAAACTGAGAAATCTTTACAAGTTGGGCATGGGATTACTAGTGAGAAGATTACTGATGAGATTACTGGGTGTCAGTTCTGCAAGCAAGTGAATTTTCCCTCTTCTCCCTTCCACTATCTCTTGCCTTCCACATTCATTGCCATTTTTCAACAGGAAGCAAAGCGTTTCTCTAACATTGATAAATCCTGGGTGAGGATCATGACTCGAGCTCATGAAACACCTAATGTTGTTCAGTGTTGCATTGGAGATGAAATCATGGGACAATTACTGCCACATTTACTAGAACAGCTGGAAATCTGTCAGAAATCACTCACAGGGTAAGAGTACTAAAAGACAACAGACTTGGTCAGATGGTTGTGAATTGTTTAACTATGGAAAGAGCAATTACCCGAGGACTGTCCCATGGACTTTACAAAGATCATGTTCTTATATTCTACTATGAGTTCAGTTGAACTGAGCAAACAAGTAAGCAGAATGATACAACACCTCCAAAGAAATTGTTGGCAACTCACTGATAAGTGTTTGATTTGTGACTAAGCTGTCACTCACTGTCTATATCAGTTGAAACAAAAGCTTGTTTCAGCCTAATTTCAATCCAGAAGGCAGTCTAGATATATATATGTCCTATTCAGACCCTTCACAAATGTGGGAGAAATTCAGCATGAGAGACCTAAATAGCAAGTAACAGACTTAATGTAAAAGCATTTTATTTTGGTTCAGATTCTTTTCTTTTTACTGGCGCTTACTTATAGCAGATGATAAAATCTTTCCATGAAATAATTTCTGATGCTAAAAGAATAGCTTTAAAGCAAGTGCTTAACATGAAAGTATAGTGGATAATAATTGTTGTTATTGCCACTGTTAAATGCTGCGATGATACAATGTGAGAAATGCCACCTTTAAAAAGGAAAGGATGTATAAATTAACCTAATTCACTTACCATCTACCCTTCCCCTCCCTCGCCCCCCAATTTTTTAAAATGCAGGTATCTAGAGAAAAAACGCCACCTATTTCCACGATTCTTCTTTGTGTCAGATCCTGCTCTCTTAGAAATTCTTGGCCAGGCATCAGACTCTCACAATATACAGGCACATCTGCTGAATGTCTTTGACAACATTAAAACTGTCAGGTTCCATGAAAAGGTATGTACTACCCAGACCTCAATGTACATTCTTTCAAATTAACAATGCATGATACTTTTTATATAAGAAAGATACCTTGATTCATAGGTTATTCCACTGTTTTACCAAGTGCATCAACTGTTTGTACCGTGTAGGCTTTCTTCATTCAAGATTTGGTTTCATATCCTCATTTGCATCATAGGAAAACTGTATATAGAATAGCAAAACAAACAAAAATTTGCACCAGTGATTTGGTTTCAGAAAAACCCCCACCCAGTTCTGTCTTCTGTGGCTTCATATAGGCTAGCATCCTCTCAGATAAGGTTTGGATTCTTTATGAGCATATTTTTATTGTTAGATTGCCTGTATTTGTACTTTTTAATTTTTTTTTTTTGATTGTAAGAAGTGTATCTAGTCTCTCACCTGTTACTAAATTATTCTTAATATCCCTTCAAACATTCTGTTTGAAGAACAATTTTCTTATATACTTTATAAGCATTTTCTTAGAAATTCATTGCCTCCCCATGCATTTGAAATTACTTTGATTGACATATTCCATAACTTTCGCATGTCCTTTATTTTTTATTGTAAGGTTGTAAATTTTGTTAGGATATTAACCCACCAGTAATGAGGGAAGGTATACTTTATTGTGACTGGGAAGTGGATTGAAACTTAAGTGAAATTTAGGAATTATATTGCTGTTTGTCTCCTTGTTCAGATGTCAGTGTTTTATTTAGTCTTTCTGCACACCAAAAGTAATGATTTAATTGTTTCTGCATTTCACCTCACAGGTTGGTATAATCTTTTAGTTACCTAAACTGGCCTAATGAAATGATGGCATGAAGATCAGACACCTATGGTGAAGACAACAATCTGTAAACACAAAATGTTCTTGTTTTGCTTTTATCAGATATACGATCGTATATTGTCGATTAGTTCACGAGAAGGTGAGACTGTAGAGCTGACTAGACCTGTAATGGCTGAAGGTAACGTGGAAGTTTGGCTAAATTCTCTGTTGAAGGAATCCCAGCTGTCACTCCATCACATTATTTGCCAGGCAGCTGCACAAATCCAGGAAGCTAGTTTCCAGCTGACTGAATTTCTTTCTAGTTACCCAGCCCAGGTAAAATTGTTAAACCAATAAAGAAATGTTCACAGATATGTAGCACACTGGTGTTTGTTTCTTGTCTTTGCAATCAAAATCGCAACTGGTGTTATAATGCAAAACTGTTATTTAATATTATCTTAATCAATTCAGGCTTTCAAGTTACACTTTATATATCTGAAACCAAAAAAAGCAGACTTGAAGGTCTTGTTCAAAAATAATGCTGAATGCAATAAATTAATGCAATGGAGTTAGCACTATTTGTTTACCAGCTCAATACTTGATTAGTCTGATGGAAGAGTAGTAAAATTGTATGTTTGTTTATATATTTGGGGAAACACTCAGGATTCTCAGGATAGTGCTTAGGAAAAATTATTTTCATAGTAGAAGCTTCTTCCCTTGTGTTCAGGAATGTTGTTGAGGGAATAGTTTGTGAATTATGGGAAAAAAATCTTAAATTTGAGGCATTAATTATTCACTGATTAGTTATTAATTATATAGAAACTATATTAATTATATCTAGTATTTATGTATGCTGTAAATTATATTGAACAGTTGTATCAGCAGTGCACTGTAGGCAGTATCTACAACACTTAAATGTGGACTTCACTATGTGGTTATGAATGAACATGTAAAACAAAGGCATGGGTTGAATGACCTCTGTATGGATGCACACAAAATAATTGTAAACAAATAGTAGAAGAACCATTACTTTATGTTATCTGTGTCTGTGAATGTGCATTTTATGTGAAGAAAATTATGAAGCATATACTTCTTTTTTTCATAAGGTTGGGTTGTTGGGGATCCAAATGATTTGGACAAGAGACTCAGAAGAAGCTTTGACTAATGCCAGGTATGATAAAAAAATTATGCGAAAGACGAACCAGTTTTTCCTGGATCTTCTAAACATGCTGATAGATGTGACAACAAAAGACCTTAGCCCAGTCGAGCGAATTAAATATGAGACATTAATCACTATTCATGTGCATCAGAGGGACATTTTTGATGGTCTGGTAAGTATTGAAAAAATTACAATGACCTATCAGGTGTTTTCTATGTAAAACAATGTGAAAGGACAAGAGAAAAATATTACTATACCTGTGAAGTCCTGCCTCTTTAGCTAATTATTTAATTTCAGGATGGTAATAATTATGTGACTTGGAGTATTATAAAAATGCTGATGTTGCTTCAGTCCGTGTCTTAGTTTTCCTTTAAGTAATTCGGTGTGTTTTTTCCCCTACAAGCAGCAGCAAAATTTTCACATATTGTGTTACAAGTAAATGTCCTTTCTCTGGACTACATTGTGAGTCTCAAGGATTAAATAGAATGAAGGTAGAGTTATATAACAGGAAAAAGTTTGACATTGTTTGAAGCTGCTATCCCCTGTTATAGTTTCAGTAGCATACCTAAATATTACTTAAGGATTTATTTATTCAATTTACGCCTTCTCTTGCTGCCACAGGATACTAAAATTAGGGAAATGAAAGCATTTACTCTTTAAACAATCAAATTTAAAGGCTAGTATACCCTTTTACCTAAAGGAAGCTATGGACTTGACTCTGAAACCAAGCTGCCTGAGAAAGTTACTGAGTTTTAACTCACTGCTGATAGGCAGACACCTATTTTTTCATTGTAGAACCAGTTGTTTAGATTTATAATCATGTTATGTAAAATATAATTTTAAGATACAACCTGCAGGGCGCTTTCTTAATCCTGTTTTAATATTCAACTTGTCAACTTTGAATTACTCTCAGCTCTGTTGAATTTCTTGAGTAATATCTGCATCGTGGCACTGTCTTGAAATACCTTTTTTCCGGTTTTCATGTGGTTTCATACAATTTTCATGACATTTTTAAAAATCAAGAATTACATTACATGCTTCCTACTAATATGTAAAAATAAAATGGTAGAGATGAGTAAAAGAAATGGCAGTTTTAATGTTAACTGAACTTAATGACTTTTGTTTGAGGTTTATGCAATGTTCATTTGTATTTAGAATTTTGACACTCACCTAAAGCCTGAAGTTCCTTTGCTTTAGTATTGCTTTCAGGGACAGCAATAACACAATAGCAATTTTTGTGGTAAAAATCAAGATAGGCTCTCCACTGTTCTCGTGTTACTAGCTATTCTTATGCCTCTCATTGTGACTGCAGTGCTGCTTTTGCAGTACTACTTAGATGAGATAATATAAATGGAAAAGTAAATGTTAACTGTTAATACCACAGCCTTTTGTTCCATCTTTTCTTAGTGTTGCATGCATATCAAGAGCCCTACAGACTTCGAGTGGCTGAAACAGTGTAGATTTTATTTTAATGAAGACTCTGATAAAATGATGATTAAGATCACTGATGTGGGTTTCACGTACCAGAATGAATTCTTGGGCTGTACTGACAGGCTTGTCATAACACCTCTGACAGACAGGTGATTTAATTCCTTTATTCTTTGATGCTAACGCTAGGCTTTTATGAGAGCAATTTAGTCATTCCTTCTGGATGCAAAATAGATCTCTGCAGAGTTTATCCTTCACAGTCTTATCAAAGTCAATAATTTTACATAGAATACATGAATATTTTTGTTTCTGTGCCTTGCAATATGAATAGCGTCCAGCTTACTTTCTGCTACATACTGTTGTGATCCCCACTTATATGATGTGTGGAACCCTTATCTTGTGTACGTGAGGCTACTATACCTGAGGATCAGGTACCTCCAACAGATAAAATATGCAGAGAGAGATACAGAACAAAACCAAGTGTTTCCATATAAGTGAATTAAAAAAGCTAAGGAAAAATAGACAGTTAAAACAATTTAATTCAGCTACAATAGATTAGAGGTCTTTGGTCTAAAAGGATGTTGAAAAAATTGCAGTCCTATTAACAAGGAGGTCTACCTACCTAACTGGAAAACTACAAATAATGCTTTATAATCTATCATTGGCAAAATAATTTATTTATTTTTTTTAAAATATTCCATACAGGAAGTTCTCTTTAGATATAACTGTGAGCTGGTGTTTTAATGCATGACACACAGAAGTTTCATTTATGAAAATAGGATGCACTGTATGATCAAATTTTAAAAGTGGATAGAAAAGAAAAGTTAGCTATCTTTCATTATTGTACTCCACAGTATAATGTAATTCAGACTGCTTCAGTTAAAGTAATGCAGGCACTAAGCTAACCAAACTAGATTAGGCAGCATGGCTGTATCTGCTTTCTTCCTTTCTCGTGACCTTTCAGGTTGTTGATTATTAAGGATTATCTATTCTTCCTCTTTATGTCTGAGGAGATGAACCTTAATATTACCTGCATTAGAGGCTGCGAGAAGGGTTTTCCTTCTTACTGATTTAAAGTGTAATTAAAGGCAGGCCACTTCAGTGTTTCCTTCTCTCTTTAAATCAGACCATCCTCATGTAACACGCTTGAGTAAGTTCCTGTGGCACTGTACAGAAAACTGTGCCCTGGAGCATATTAAGTGATGATAGCCTGTTGCCTTTTAGATGTTACATCACTTTGGCTCAAGCTTTAGGCATGAACATGGGCGGTGCACCTGTGGGACCAGCAGGAACTGGAAAAACGGAAACCATCAAAGACATGGGACGGTGCCTTGGAAAATATGTCGTGGTCTTTAACTGTTCAGACCAGATGGATTTCCGAGGACTTGGGAGGATCTTCAAAGGTAAGATGTTGGCCAAAAGCATCAACTGTATCCTGGAATGCATCAACTGTAATATAAGTAACTAGTCAAAAGAAGTGATTGTCCCACTATACTCAGCATTGGAGTGGCCTCACCTCAAGTACTGTGTACAGTTTTGGGGTTAACAATGTAAGAAACATATGAAAGTATTAGAACATGTCCAAAGGAGAGCAACAAATATGGTGAAAGAACTAGATGGCATGACTTATGAGGAATGTCTGAGTATACTAGGTTTGTTCAGCTTAGAGAAAATGAGACTGAGGGGTGCCATCATTGCTGTCAAGAAATTCCTCATAATGAGGAGCAGGGGAGAAGATGCTGATCTCTTCTCGCAGGTGTCTGGTGATTAGGACATGAGGGAATGGCTTAAAGCTGCGTCAGGTGAAGTTCAGTTTGGATATTAGGAAAATGTTCTTCACTGAGAGCATGGTCAAGTACTGAAACAAGCTCCTCAAGGAAGTAGTTAGGGCTCCAAGCCTGTGAGTGTTTATGTACTCTTAGATATATGGTTTAACTTTAAGGTAGCCCTGTGTGGAGTCAGGAGCTGGACTTGATTGTCATGACTCCTTTGCAACTCAGGACATTCTGTGATTATATGATTCCATGGACTCTGTGAAAATTGCAAATGCTAAGAGAATGTCTTTCTAAAGCAAGGTCAACACATAATCAGCAGGTGGTTTTCAGCCTTTCAATAAATGGAAGTGATTAATATTTTTTTATGAAGTTAAAATACACTTGCAACACTGTCTCCAAGAAATAGAGATGTCTGGAAACATAAGACAGTTTAAAAAGGATACATAAAGTCACTTAAAATAATTCAGGAGGACTTCCAGTACAAAAAGAAAAAGCTGTGAAATTTATTGCTGAATGGATGGAAAGTTCTTATCAGTTGAAGGAAGTGCATTAGTAGCACTACATCTGTTAAAAACAACTGTCACTTATGTTAGCTGCAGGTGACACTTTTATAGGCACTTAAAATTGATACCTGTCAGTCTTGTCAGATGTTGAATTAGAGATCAAGTGGAGGGCCTTGACTATTGTTTTGTAGTTGACAGTGTTGATGATTTTTTAATTTTAATTTTCCCAAAATATCTGAGGAAGAATGCAGTTCTGGCACAGACAGCCCCTTAACTTCTTTCCAGGCAAAACCCAACATTTTTATTCGTTTTAATCTCTACACAAAAAACTATTGGCAACCTACCTTATTTTCATAGAGTTATTGCAGGGATTTCTTTAGGAGGGTGGGGAAGAACAGGAAAAAAAATTCCAGCTACTGAGAGAAGGAGCAGAAATCAAAGGGAGTAGCGTCCTAGGCAAGCTTGAGGACTTTTGGAACTTCGTGAATTCTTGCTTGAAAAGAGTTGAACTTTTTTCTCCTTGTGCCTTTCCAAACCCTCAGAAATAATCTTGATTTTTGAGGTAGGTTAACTCATTTTTGGCTTATGAATTGCACCATAAAAGGGTTAGCAACATAATGGTCAGATGCTTAGTTGCTTTTCTCTTTGAAGGTCTTGCTCAGTCTGGCTCCTGGGGTTGCTTTGATGAATTCAATCGTATTGATTTACCAGTACTGTCAGTAGCTGCACAACAAATTGCAATTGTGTTGACCTGTAAGAAAGAACTTAAAAAAAGCTTTATTTTTACTGATGGAGATTATGTGGAAATGAATCCAGAATTTGGCATCTTTCTTACTATGGTAGGTATCTAGTTGTCTTCTAATATGCTGGTGATTGTACAATAATTGTTTCTAACCTGGTATATTAAATATATTTGCTAACTCTTACGTCGCTCAGCTCTTAGAACTCACTGATGGTTTGAGAACATTGAGCATTACTACAAAGACAGTAAACAGGGTCTTGTTTCAATGACATCAAGCACATGCAATTAACAAATGCAAACAGCATTGTAAATACAATTTTTTATCTCAATGTCAGATTCCTTCTGCATGCTACATTCTCATTCCCAAAGTAAACGTTTTGCTACGAGTACAGAAAAATGGCCATAGAGTTAGAAGTATCCAGTAAAAACAGGACCTATAAGACAAATGCAGATATAAAGTGTTTAAGTGGAACATTTTTCATACCTCATGGATGCAAGAGAGGTTAAAATGCTGTATAGATATGGTGGTAAATCTGCATGGCAGTAAATTTTTATCTGTGATTCAAAGCCAAAAAGATATTTTTGTCTAACCAGATTACATGTTCCTTTGCTGATTCTTCCATTTGTGCAAGGTGCAGTCAACTTCATAATGTGTTCTTCTCTCCAGAACCCAGGATATGCTGGACGTCAAGAACTTCCTGAAAACTTGAAGATCAACTTCCGTTCAGTGGCTATGATGGTTCCTGATCGTCAAATCATAATTCGTGTCAAATTGGCAAGTTGTGGTTTTGTTGCTAATGTTGTATTGGCGAGGAAATTCTTTACACTGTACAAGCTATGTGAAGAACAACTGTCGAAGCAGGTGATTATTTTCATATGATGAAAAAATATCTTAGGGAAAAATTATATATGGTGTCACAAATTATTAGCATCTAGATGAAGAAAATTGAAAAGCTCATGTTCACTATGTAAGCTAAATGACACTTGCAGTTTAGTAGTGTAGCCCTCTGCAGTCCTGGAAGATTAACTCTTGCTACAGGTTATCTGCACAGGGATGGAACTGCTATTCAGAACACTGCTTATTACTAAGATTTAGCTTTACTGAATGGTGGTGATTGCAGCAAATAAAGGGTTTATATATTAGTTGGTCTTATAGAGTGCATTGAGAGGCATTTGTTTTGTGCTGCCTGTGCTTGCTTATATGTTTCTCAACTAAAGTCAATTTCCAAGGCTCACAGAGATTTCAAAATAATCCTTCTAGACTATTCCTTAATTGTCCTTGGGAACCTTATTTTGGTTCAAGTACTTGTGATTACATTATGTTTTTCTCTTATGGCTTACAGTTTAGCAGATGGTAGTAGAGGTGGGGAATGAAGCTGCCCATCGTCATACAGCCAGACTAGTTGTTGGGTGTTAGGAAGCATTTGTGGCACATGCACTACTCCTCGTAACTATCCATAACTTAAATGATAAATAAGAATTGTTTCATCCTTGTTAACTCAGGGAAAGACTTCCTAAACTTTGCATATTTTCTAGGTGCATTATGATTTTGGCTTGCGGAATATATTGTCAGTGCTACGTACATTAGGAGCAGCAAAAAGAGCAAATCCCACAGACACCGAATCTACCATTGTCATGCGTGTGCTGAGAGACATGAACCTGTCTAAACTAGTAAGTTCCAAGGGTCTGGTAAACTAATTAAACTGTATTTTGGAGCTACGTGTTTTTTTTATGGAAATACAATTTAAATCTGTTAAGGTGATCACTACAAGATTGGATGTGGCCTCTACACTGAAGCTAGATTGGAAATGTTCCATTCTCTAGATGGTCTTGAGTACTGGTTTTGGCTGGGATAGAATTAATTTTCTTTGTAGTACCCTGTATAAGGCTGGGGAGGGAGTGAGCCAGGGCCTGTGTGGTTCTTGGCTGCCTGCCCAGGTTAAACCACAACACCTTCAATTGCTCAGATTTTTCTTTTTTTAACATATTGCCCCTGCTACCTATAGAAATAAGTGAGCAAACAGAAGTCTCTCTAGTAAACTCCAGAACCTTTGACCTAAACTATTTAGTCACTCACTTGAAATAATGTAATTTGTAGTAGTGAGTACCATCTCATCGGTCGTAAGCAGCTAACAGAATCTATTCTGTTGCTGTGATACTTCATCTGCTTTATTATCTTTTCTCCACCTTAGACAATTTACTATTTGTATAAATATTATTGCTAAAATCTACTTTAATAAATTCAGTCTCTGTGTTAGTGGCATATTTTTAATAACTTTTGATTATTGGAAGAAGCATCACATGATCTCCTGCTGTGTCCTGCTAGTGTTTAGCACCTAGAAAGTTACTATAGATAGTTCCTTATGTTTTCAAATATTTCTTTAGCTCTGCAAGAGTTAAGGATTGGAGTTTTTTTAAGATGCAAGAATAAATAAAATAGGTTTTCCCCTGATTTTCACTAGATTGATGAAGATGAACCCTTATTCCTGAGTCTAATAGAAGATCTGTTTCCAGATATCCAGCTTGATAAAGTAGGCTATCCTGAACTGGAAGCTGCCATTGACAAAAAGGTAATGGTTTTTTTGATCTGTGCTGTTGTGGCACAACTATCATGATGTGACATCTAAGGAAATTATTGTTGTTGAATCTACCCAGCTATTAATAATATGTTTTATTATTTAGAGGAAAAGTAAGCTTTCCTATAAATCTCTACCATTGGTATACATTACCCTTATTCTTAAGGATGTCACTAAATTGTGATTGTAGTGTCCTGTGGCTTTCTTGTGAGCAATTGTTGGTGACCAGTTTGAAAAATGCATGTATATACACTTGCCTTATGTTGCCCAGGATTTAATATTTGAATGAAGTCTAACAATCGGAATATAAATTTTAGAAAAAAATTACCTAAAATGACATTGCATCTATTTCATCTACCATTAGAGTTTCTTGGAACATTTCAATAGGGCCAACTTTAGAACATCATTGGGGTATAGAAGGCCAATGAAGTATGTACACTTAAATGATCATGCCTATTAAACTTTCCTCCAGAATTTCAGTAATTCCTCAGATAATTATCTAATAGTTAAACAATTAAAAAAAAAAAAAAGTAAGCCCCCCCCTCCAAAT